TTTAATTAAGCCCCAAGTTAATTTGCGCTCCGTCAAAACGTCCGCTTTTTTGCAACCAGAATTTTATGGGTGAATTTATTTATTTCCACAACATAACATTTTTACGCCCAAATAAGTTTCCCCCCAAGATTAAATTTTAAATAATTTAATAATTCAAAGTTAACCTTAAAAAAAAAACTTAGAAAGCAGTAAGACAAACAGTAAAAACAGATTCTACAATTATTTTATCATTATTTAACGAATGCAAGCATTTTGTATTATTATTAATATATTATGCAAGTTTGATAAACGCCATTGTAGTTTAGAGTCTGATTCGGTTAGCTTAATAAATGGCGTGATCGTGACCGCTAAAATCTCCCGAAAACATCCGATCGCTCCCAAACCGGTAAATAAAGTACAAAAGACATTCAAAATGACATTTTCCACATGCGCCATCAGTGCACATATAGTAACTACGAAATTGTATAGATATATGATATCACAAAATTTGCTTCTCCTTCTATTTTCAACATCCCCATGTTCATAAAAATCCCGTATACGTGTTATGATTAGTTCTTGCATTATGGATTTTGAAATTTCAAATGTTTGACTTTTGGACGTCGATCAACAATTGACACCATGCACTTTTAAATTAAAATTTTTTAATGAACAGCACGGTACATATTTTTTTACGGCACATGCTGAATACGTAAACGTAGGCCCCAAAATGTGCATAAATAAAACCGTCAAAATTAACCTGAATTCAATCGATTTTTGGATAACGGAGTGAGTAAATCCCAATTGGAGGTAAGATCGTCCGGGAAAAGTTTCAAAATAGTTGCGAATATTGCCCAAATGTCAAATACGAAACAATTAGTATCAAAAAGTCGTTCGATTCAATATACTGGAGAGGAAAAAATTAATGAAGTCGCTCGAATAGTTTCGCAGTGTTTTATCTCAGAACTTTCGTTAATTAACCCGGGACTTGATTAAAATTAATGGATAGCATTTTTGCGATCGCTTACTTTGCGAGATTTTGGTCTCGCAGATTTCACCGCTAACGCTTCGAACTTCATCGCTTCGCTGTTTCGGCAACTTACCAGAAATGAATCTTATCGGTTTGCTGTCAATTTCGTTTTGAAAGTTTATTAAAATCATTTTTTCAACACCATTACAAATTTTAAAACTGGTCAATTTTGTTTGTCACGCCACCCTTAAACAGTAACATTCGAAGTTGCCAAAGTTAACTCAAAAAATCATGCTGTGGAAGATTCGTAAACTAACCAATGCAAATTTTAACCAGACAACACTTCTTAACAAACAAATGCGTCGTATTTTACCAACAAAGCAAGGCAAGTTTTTATATTTTTTCAGACATTAATACTTTTCAAAAATTTAACGTCCTTTGGTTAGCTCTTTGAACTCCCTAAGAATTTTAATCAGTAGACAATTTTGAAAAATTAGTATTGTTTTTGTTTGCTTCCCTACACCAATGCAAATTTTACCAATCAAACTGAAACCTAAATTTTATTTATTTAGTTATTTATCGATTGCAGCGCTAATGATAATAGTAACCATGAAATAAGTTCAACAGAAATAAATTAGTCAAAATTCAAAAAACATAAAGCATAAGTCAATCGTAATAAACCAGTAATATAAAAGAAATATAATACGGATCAGGATGTTAGGTGAATCGAACGGCCATAGCAAGTTTTCGTTTTCATCTTTTCCGTGTGTTATTATTGGTAATAACAAAACAACCGTTTTGTTAATACCCTGTATGTCTTTAAATAATTTTATTAGCCTTGACCTGAGATTTTCGAAAATATAAGTACTATTTCAAATATAAATTTCATCACAGTCGTGACATTTCGTCATTATTATTTTTACTTCTGCCTCCTCCTGCTTCTGCCATGGCTCATTTTAATCACACAAATCATAATTATGACAAACTGGTTATATTATATTATATTATATAATCTTGTATTATATTAAATTATATTATACTATATTAAAATAGGGGCTATTATCAATGCTATCATTTAAATTAATTAAAAATCTGAACATTTTATGGCCTACTTATAAAAAACATATGCTTTGTACTGAAATAATTTGTATTTGAAATAGTACGTACGTACGTCCTATCCAAACCATTTTTTACGTTTTCGATAAGTTTGCTCATAACCGAGCTACAAAGGGTGTCAAAAATGCGAAATTTCTAAAATCAACCTTGAAATTCAAGATAGCTATGATATTTCTTCACCTTTCATTTCACCCCAGCCGTATGGAAAAATATAACGCCCAACCGATTTACTATTTCAAATCTTCTGGATTCCACCTTCGTCGGTTGTTTATAAATCAAACTTGGTGGCTTATATCCAGTCGTCCTAAAACTCAGTTTCTGAAAAAGCCAATAGTTTATGCCTAAACGGCATCAAGTTTGGCTTATAAACAACCGTCGCAGTAGGAATCTAGAAGATTCATAAGTAGAATTACAGTAGATTGTAGAAGTTTAAAAAATGCCCAAACAATTTGCTTACTAATCAAACGAGCCTATAATGTCAGGCAAATTAATTCCGAGATTATAAATAATTTGCTTAGGATTTTATTCCCACGGTGACACAGCTTGGATTTCATTTACGTGTTGAGCATTAGGTTATTTTTCGAAGTTGTTTTTCTGCGTAATTTGGCATAATTAACCTTGGGGAGACAGAGAAATGTAATATCTAGCATACACGTGCCGATGAGGTTAGCAAAGTTCTTCGGTGAGGCCCGGCAACCTCCGGTAATTCCCAAGATGATTTACTCTGGCGTTTAACTAAACTCTTGGCCGACTCAAGTTCGAAATCTTTCGACGGATAACGAAAAGCTCTTTTTTTTTTTTGCGACTTCGTGCATAAAACATCAATATCCAATTAAAATTTCTTTTAACGATGTCTTTAAAACGGGTACCTGGAGTTTGTTAGATGCTGCCACTCGATAACGTGGATCAAGATCGGGGGCGAGGAAAGATTAATGACAGTCGAATTCCGTTAAGAGACTGCAAAAAACACTAATTATGAGAAAGTTACGGCGAAAGCGACCAAATCGCCAATAATTTCCAAGAAAAATGTTGCTAAAGGCGCGCCGAACTCCTGGTCGATGGTAACAGAGTTTGTGAAATATAGTCCGCAAAAAAAGAAGAGGCATAGACTGGCCTAGGCATAATTCATCATTTACCACATCCGTGAAATATGTGAAATCTCATAAATCTTTGTTACCTGCAAAATCCGCAAAAAATAAACAAACAAAAATTTCAAAAACGTATTTATTAAATAAAAGAAAGATGTAGATTATCATCTAAGATTTGGTTGAACCGAAACCATATTTACAAATACCATTGTTAAATTAAACAAAATTTATTCGTGTGATCTTTGGATTTTTTGGAGCAGTCAGAATTCTTTATTAAATGTCTTAAATACGCACTTTTCTATGATGAAAATTACGCAATTAAAGTTATAAAGATAAATAATTCAGTATAACAAAAATTGTTCTATTTAAAATAATCAAGTATTAATACGAGTGCGGACATCCTAAACATATCACGCGGATGGACCCACCGACCAGATTCTAACCTGAAAACCGTTTCGAAAATTAACTTATTTATTTCGTAAAATAATTTTAATTTAATAGTTTCAGATTCATAAAATTGAAAAATTCATGACATATTTTTGAAATCCGTGAAATCTGTGAAATGCCATGATTGTGCTAAATCTAGTTACCGTTTTGGATGGTGATTTGCCCCTCAGGACTGGCTATTAATGAGAAATAATTAAATCAATTACATTTCTCCTTAAAAAATGTGAAAATTCATATGAAAAACGTTCAACTGAAATAATATATTAGACAATAAGTTTGATAAAAGCCGTTTTAGTCATGAGTTCGATTTGGTTATTTACACTGCTTAAAAAACGAAAGATTGAAGAAGCTATTATGCTATACATTGCTACCTGACGGTCAGAATTTAAAGGCTTCAAAATACCACCTGTGGATAAGATCTACAGAAAACATCTGAAACCCAGTACCAGAAATACCCGAAGTGTATTTGATCGGTATTTTAGAGCAGCGAGTAGCAAAAAAAATTACATGTTATCAATCAAAGCCAAACACCAAATGCCTATTTATGCGAATGCACGTGTTGCGTATTAGCAAACATAATCTATCTAAACCCATCAATATTTTATGCATCGGATTGTTGGCAGATTCCATTTTAGTTGTATGTTCTGCGGTCAGGCTCGGATCAACAGCAGGTAATGAAATTCTAATCAATCAATAGACATTTTGTTATAAATAAATGGTTCCCGTTGGCCGGTTATTAGTTATTTATCGTTTACGTTACCCTAAAAAATTTGCTGTAATTTATTGATAAAATTACACCGAAACATCTATATTGATTGTTTTTATCTAAAATGTACGACGATCCAAATCCAAATCGCTAAATTGGAGGACTTTGGAAAAGTTTATCCGGAAGATGCTGATGTTGCAAAAACGCAGTACTAAGCCCCATAAAAGACGTGCAGGACTATTGACTAGATAGATAGACTATTGAAAATTTCTTTTATGTTTACTGAATTGTATTTTTAAAATTATTATCACTGAGAGTCATATAACATAAATATATCTACATAAAGTTGAAAATATTAATGACACCGAACAGCTGCAATATGACTTCAATAATAATAATAATGGTATGTGTCCGTTTTAAGGGAAACCGCTATTTCTAATATCAGAAACTGTAAGCTACAAAGTGGGTTAAAGATTTTTTGATGCCCATTCGAGACTCAGTTAAAATGGACATTCCCCCAGTAATTTCGTATTTTTGAAACGCCTTTTTAAAAATGACAAATAATATTGTTTATTACGAAAATATGTGAAACAATAATGTGAGCAAAAATCATTTTTTTGTGTAGAATCTAATGAAATAAATAACACAAAGAGGCTTCAACCAGCTGCGCTTCAATTATTTACCATTTCTTTTCCAGGATAAAGTAGACCTGGGCGAATTGATGATATGCCTGTGTTACCTTCCAAAAGCAGGACGTTTGACAATTACGGTCATAAAAGGCCATAATTTAAAAGCGATGGATATTACCGGAAAATCTGGTAAGTTTTTAATTGTCTACGCAATTTTAAGCGGTGAATTTTGTAGACCAATTCGAATATTTAAAATCGATTTACCGCCCTCAAAAGATTAATCCGGCTTACTAAACATTAAACCCTTGTAACGGTCTAGAGGCAGAGGCCCGAAAATGTATAATTATTTGTACATTACATTTTTGAAATTCTGCACCATATGGTGTGCCTTTTACCGCCGTTATCGAAATAAACTTCCGATTGCAACAAAACACCTGACCAATCGGTATTTTATTTAAGGTGTTTTAAAAATATAACTATTATATATTATAATATGTTTACTTAGGTATAATAAAATCACATCACTAATAGAAAATACGGTAGCATTAAATTTATACTAATTATCAATAATCGACTTAATAAGTACGTGTTTATTCAAAATCTAATTCTGTTTCACTCTCAGAGTCATCATTAAGATTCATTCTAATGGGCTCTATGTTATTTTGTATTGCAAATGTTAGAATCGTCAATTTTCAGCTCTCAATTAATAACATTATTTGATTTTACTTGGTGACACAAAAGTTCTATGGTGTTGAATCTACAATGATATGGAGGGAGCGATAAAACACTGTGCCCCATTATTCAGCTAAACCTATTATTATTTAATAAAATATTATTTTTTAATAAAATATTAATTTAACACTTCTAACAGCCAACAAATATTATTTTGTAATAAATACTCTTAAATTTCTGTTACTTTACTGTACTTTACTGTACTGTACTGTACTTTACGTCACTGTACTTTATGAGTTTGCTGCTTTTTGTATCAGGCGGGTGTGATACGTTATACAGTCTTAAAAGTTAATTTTGATACCCGTTTTCTAAAAGTTCTGCACTGGCATGTTCATGATTGTCCTTAATATTCTTCGCAGGCAACAGCAAACAGTTTGGAACTAATAGTTATTCTGATCCAACATACATGAAGGTGATACGTTTTCTTTATTTGAAGGTGCTTTTGTCTGTGGATTGAACCAAGTTTTAGTAAATTATATATCTGTTTTCAGATCTATACTTTTGATTTCCTAAAGGTAATTAACTTTCCAACTGCGCAAGCTGTGCGATTCCATTTCGACTTGTTTTTTGTCATTTTGCGATATTTAAATCCCAATTTACCAATTACTCTATGAAGGATCGCGTAGCAAATTGGAAACGGTGTGATGTAAATCACTACATTTATTTCTTTGAATGATTCACTATTAACAATATTGGCGTTTTTGTACGAAGTTTTCTTTAAGGCATTTTGTTTATTTATTAAGAATTCATACACATTTTTCACATTTTGTTTTGCAAGTGATTTCAAGCCGACGAAAAATTAGTGATGCACTCGTAAATAACTTTTATGGAAGCACACGGTAATACGAGTTACTCAACATGTCAACAGTTACATGGCGACTTCAAAATTTTTGGTTAGTTTGTGAGTAGTTTGGTTATATTGAGTTTCTAACTCAATAATGTTTATTAGCTGCTGTGTTGAAACGGCGAGGGTCCGATATCCCTCTGTGAATATTCCACATGAATAAACTTAAAGCTGTCTTAAAAATAATTATACACCGCGCATATAAAAAACTACTTTAAAAATTGTAAATAGTACTCTTAAAAGAACTGAAATGCTCGAATTTAAAAGAAGCTAAAATACAGATTTTAGGAACCTTTTTAAACTAGTGCACTACAAAAATACATAATAATTCAAAAATTAAACAATTCGATAACAAATTTTACAGATAACTATTTTAAGATAATTTGCGTAGTAGTTGTGAGCTTCCAAATGGAACAGGCGCAAATTTGAACAAGATTTTTATTTTTGACTTAAAGTTCAGCCTATCACAATGCTAAGAAAATGTTGAGGCAACAGTCTATCAATAGTAAAAGTTTACTCATATAGATAAGTTGTTTAAAACTTGGTTTTTATGTTTATAGATATTTTCCACTCTCTTACGATTAAACATGGCGCTTTCCTATAAAGTAGTATAACACTTTGGCCCTCATATAGAAAACCTTTGTATTGTGTGTTAGTAAAATATTTACCGGAACTGAAAATTCTGATCCCTTCCGCCGTCGATATTTAACAAATGATATCCTTACTTCCAGATCCCTATGTAAAAATATACCTCATATGTCAAGGGAAGCGTATACGTAAAAAGAAAACATCCGTTAAATACAACACCCTATCGCCAGTTTATAACGAAGCTCTGGTATTCGACGTCCCTGAGGAAAACATTAACGACGTGTCGCTGGTAGTTAAAGTTATCGATTACGACAGGTATTCCAACATTTTTAGCCTTTTTGTATGGTTATTTTTATCCCGTATATCTACCTCGACATTGGTTGATATCGATCTATGCGGTTAAATAGTTCAAACCGCTAATTTTTTTAATTTCTATGTGCAGAATAGGACTAAATGAATTGATGGGCTGCACGGTGATAGGACCAAGCTTTATAGGCAAAGGGCGCGACCACTGGACGGAAATGTTGGACAATCCAAGAAAACCGGTGGCACAATGGTATCCGTTGATGGAATCGGTACCTGCGAACGTACCACCGTTAAAAGACGGCACACTAATCCTCAGCTGCCTCAACAGCAGGTACGTTCTTCAAATACCAGGGAAGGAAATTGTAGCATTTCTTTCCAGGGGGTGTATGCATTTTACTCTAGAGTAGTTCTAGAGTTATGTACATATTTCTGCTGCCTTTTGTAACTATTTCGAAAAGAAATCAAATTTACGTAATTGCTTACCCAATACATCGTCAGATATTATTAGAGGAACTAATATGTGCCAAAAAAAGGAGATACGGAAAAAAGTTTCGAACAAGAATTTCTAAGACTCCTGAAGATTTAATTTTTTTTTTGATACAGGGTGTCCCAAAAGTGTCTCCCCGATATCAATTTTGTTGTTTTAAATGGAACACCCCATATTTTTCGACATTTTTGGAATCCTTGGTTAAAATAAAGAAAATTAAGAAATTTCTATTCAAATTTTGCATCGTTTAGGCAGAAATCGGGGTTTATATGTTTTTTTTTTATATTTTGATTGGCCCATATAAAATTGTGTTGTAACTCTACTGATCCGGGTAATGCAACGAAAATTTAACCACAGACTAAGAAAATGATGCACTACTCAATCAGTTTGACATATGCGCCTCAGCTTATACAGGGTGTTCCAAATAGGTAGTGTCATTTTGACGAATTCATTTAACAAAATCTCAAGATTTTCAAATGAAACACAAAATTTTTTTATTCACATATCAATTCTAGGACAAAAAATAAGGCAAGTTTGTAATTTATCCTACATTTAAATTTTACTTTAAGATAACACCCGTATAAATACTTAGGTCACTTGTTGGCAATATTAGGTATTTTTTAAATAGCAAAAACATGATACTATTTCTTTTAAAGATATAATACTCCAGATATACGAACAAAAGCTATTGCTAACAATACAGGGTGGGCAAATTTTGACTTTAACAAATTTAATAGAACTTCGGAATTCATATTTAAATTCAAACAAGATACAAACAGCGTCTAGTGTAAAATTCGTTTATTATTATTTTCTATAAGCTGCAATATAGAGTAGGAGAAGCTCTTTTGAACTTCAATTTCCTCAACCCCATCCGGGCTGATTAACATATAAATAAAAACAAATCTAACCTTGCCCGACCACTTTATTTGGTTCAAGCTAAGAAAAACGAAATTTTTTGAAAATTACGATGCCAGCGGTGGTTCTAGGAAGTTGCACATAATTTTCATAATTTCGAGGCGCCCAATACATTTCACTGCCTCTTGAACTCCGAATAAGCAGAGCTCTATATCTTTTCGATTGGTTTTCTTTCCATTGCATGGCTCGCTGGTAATTAAAGTGACGAAGACATATCTAGAGAGGCTGCACAATGAGAGTATTGAAAACAACTGAATATTTTTAAAGCAGGCCCAGCTAATCTACAGTTTTATTCCAGGTGAAGTTTTTAAACTGAACTCGAAATTGAAGATTTTTTGAAACGCGATGCTCAAGGCTAGCTTGGAAATTTAGAATATGGGAAATTAGAAAAACCAACGGACTTTTGAAGAGATGAAATAGAATTCCGTATAGAGGAATATTATAGATATACTGTAGATTTTGTAACGTGCTAAGCAGAGGAGTTAAAAAAAACACTTTCCATTGTTACCGGAGGAATGATTCATATCAACTGATATTTTTCTAATATTTTTGACTGAAGTTTTTTACGGAATACGACTATAACGTTTACTGTAGAGATTGACTGTTTGTTAATGTATATTGCGTATTAGTGAATATTTATACAGAGTTTTATTGGTTATATTGTAGCCGTTTTAGACATTACGCGGGGCGCAGGATCAAATTTCATCAGGAAACTACAGGGTTGTGCAAAATGCCAATTCAAATAATTACATATATATATATATATATATATATATATATATATATATATATATATATATATATATATATATATATATATATATATATATATATATATATATATATATATATATATATATATATATATTGTGCAGAAGTAATGTTCAGTCCAAATAATTTGGATAAGCTCAAGAAGCAAAAACTGCTTTATTAATACTGTCGCTTCAAAATATTCACCACCAATCAAATTATTGTATTTGTTTTGTATTTGTGATAATAACATTAGCTCTTAAGGTTAGAGTCAATAAGATTAGGATTAGGCTACAGTAGTTCATAGAAATTCTGAACGGTTGTGAGCACCAAACGATTTCGAGAGCTGCAGTATAGTTTACCAACTGGAGAATATTATGCGTACGGATTTTAGTGTTTGCGATAATATAATTGGGCTCAAATACGCTGCACAGGTGCGCGAGAACTTAAGAAAATGTTTAATATAAATATGTAATGTTTATATTATATGTATGTCGGTGGAAATTAAAACTAATTTGCATATCATTATAATAGGGTCTGTGTTTTTCTACTCGAAAAAGTGTATGAGAACACCAAGACTTAATTTTATTGATGACTTAAATAATAATGGGGTTTTTATTCTTAAAGACAGAATACTTTATTTATTTTATTTTTTTTTTATAAAGGACATTAATAATTTGTCTAAAGATTTATTTAAATTAACCTAGATAAAACATATGCCATTTATTGCATTTAGTTTTTTGCTAATTGGCAATTTTTTTATATACTTTATATATAAGTGTAAGATATATTATACCAGTTTAAGTATATATGCAAATCTAACATGGAAACATTAACAGTATTGAAAAATACAATAACCCAACAAGTTGATAAGTTTCGAAATATATATTATTTTTCTGCAGTAACCGCAAACTGCAGTTTGCTGTTAGTTTACTAACTTGGTGCCAACCAAGGCAGTATAACCTTTTTTTTTAAGGCTTTTATTTTTTTTTACACTTTTAGCCTGTTCTGAATGTTTTCTTGAAATTATTTTTAAATTTACAAAATTTACAGACATATAGCTATGTAATATAGTGGCCCTACTACGTTAAAAATTGATGCGACTCAGGTGGCTATGATATTTTCATAAGATACATATTATATGATCTGCCGCCCATACCTCTGCATTTCACTTTTACATCTAAACAGCGATATCCACATACTGAACTTCATTTTTCCAACTTTCAAACTTCTTGACGATCTGTCAGCGGCCATGTTGGTTGCTAAATGCCGCAAGATCATTGGTTAAAAACTGTCAACTGTAGTACATCATAACATTTAAATGTTGAAAAGAAAAACGACGACAAAGATATTAAGCTCTCTACAGGAACTGTCAATCTGCTGTCAAAAAATCCGCCCATTAAAAGAAAAGCAATGGAAAAGCAATAAACAACTTAAGATATACTGATAACACTACACTTCTAGCAGACAGTGCTGAGGCTCTCCAATTTCTATAGAACTTAAAATTAAAATTGTCTTCGTCTCCGGGTTCTTCGATGTCACTATTTTTGTATATGGCGAAGAGGCTTGGACTCTTACTGAAACCTCGGATCAACGTAAACGTCCATTGCATTTGATATTTGGTGTTATCTTCGCATACTAAGAATTTCCTGGGTGCATCGTATAAAAAATAAAAAATATAATAATGCACCAAGTACAGAAGTAACCTGAAATTCTCAATACCATGAAAGAGAGAATGCTGGCATATTTTGGGCACTTGGTGCGAAGTGACACGTATCTGATCCTACAACTAATTCTACATGGCAAAATAGAAGGAAAAAGGTCGGGACGAGCCCATATGATATTCTAGTTAGGTCTGTCTCGCTCCTCGTTCAATATAGGGGTCAATGGGCAATGTGATGCATGCAGGATGGGCACTTTTAGAAGAAGATGAGCGAAATTTGATTTTTGTGTATTTTTACTTGAGTCAGTTAATTTTTTTTTATTTTCAGAAAAATTATTTACTTAATGCAAACATTTTAACTGAGATTTGGTAGGTGGTTCGGCTTAAACTGTTAATTAATTTCGCCTTTTGAGATAATTTATATGCCAATATTACAATCAGATAATAACAACTGGACTTTCTTTTAAAAAGTTATGCAAGGAAAATATAAAAACATATTACCACCTTCTAAAGCCGTTCCACTATGTAACGTACAAAAAACGCTATTTGAAATATCAGCGTTACTTGGTTCGAACTGATGCGTAACGCGTTTAGAAATAAAGCACAAGCTGGTTGAACCACCGACAAAAAAGCGTTCTCTAATAGAAATAAATTGCCCATTGTGGGGGAATATTCGACTTTCGTGTTCGGTGTTCGCCAGGCTTTACCGTAACTTATTTGTGACGTATACAAAAATTCGCCAGCTGAAAAATAACGTATCTATACGTCGGAAATCCATTAGCATGTTTTCTTTGAATACAAATTTAAAGTCTTTTTTTATCCTATGTTGATTATTTTGTTATCATTTTGTAGATCTAAGTATTGCATTTTCCTTTAATTATGAAATAAGGTAACATTTTTTCAATTGGGCTTTATCACATAGGAAAAAATCGAATTGTGTTTTCTTGTAGTAACATCAAAACAATGTGTAAGAAATTTGAGGTGAATAATTTATATGCATTTACTTACTGTAATCTTTGATATATTTTATATATTTCGTTTTTTAATTTATTCGTATTTATATTATTTATTATTAAATGCAAGTCAAGCTTTGGGTAAAAATTATCAATGTTGGCGAATGTTCTGACCGAATTTTTGACAGTGACTGTGACAAATTATACTTTCCTGTTTATTATAAAATAAATAAACTTTTCTTGAGTGCAAAGCCGCTATATTCAAATTGAGATACAAAATGTAAGATGGTGTCAAGTGTAAACATAATCTATTCCAATATAAATATAAAAATTCCTTGCAAATAGATGAAGCGAAAGATAACAAAATAAAATAAAAAAGCCAAGCTACAAAATAAGGACGAGAGCCGCCGTAGCAGGTGGTACTCTACAAAATGTTGAACAGAGGTGGATTTCCATGAAAATCCATTTAAGTTAAATTAGAACGAACGTTGTTCAGATTTTCACAAATTTGTGTGACAGCTGTTTCGGAAACACGGTGTATTTGAGAAAGGCAAGGTGTCACGCACCAACAAAAATTCAATGCAAAATATCAAGATTTAAACCTCCCGAATCATTACATTTTGATCACGTCTTCCACAGAATTATACAAAATGACTGAATAGTTTCAACATTTATGAAGGCATTATTAAAAATCGGATAAAAAAAGTATAAAACAAAGTTCCGCTACTCCGGCATTCTGTGCCAAATTGCGTTAAATATTAAATTTGGGTGTCAGTGGGTGGGTTCTGTTGATATGCTACAAAACAGCATATTGTTAGAAAAATAGGGTAAATTATTATGTTTTTGTTGGTATAAGCACTTTTTGGAAGAAACCTCATCAATTAACAATTTAAATTGGCACATTCGAAGTTGTATTTAAACAATTAACTACTATACGGAAATGGTGTCTCCACGTTTTTATGTAGAAAAATTTACAGTCTGTCTATTTTCGTGTGTCGTGTAAATATGAACTATGCATGCTGCGTCAACAAGGAGTACCACTGATATAGGTCATAAATGGGAAGACATTGGCAAACATTTTGAGCTGATAAAAGTAGTTACAGCTATACAAGTTGAGTCAAGAACTGTAGATATACTGTACAAAACTAACACCTGACGCTTGACGCATTAGGGCAAAGCTTTACTATTGCACCCCCTTTCTTTAAATTCCACTTCCGCGTTAGAGCGAAATTTTTTATTTTGTGAATTTCATGTTTTGTTTTTTATTTTAAATGGTCTTTTTAATAAGACGCTGGTAACACTTAAGCTAAAAGATTATTCAATAGTTACTCAAGGGTTCCCGAGATCTGGTCAATATATCTAATAAAAATTTAAAGGGGTACAAATTTTACGAATTGCTTATCAATAGACTTGATTTTTTACTGAAACGTGTTATATCAAACTTTTTTTTTTAATATTTATTTTTTTTTATTTAGGAACTATACGAAAAAAAATAGCAAAAGAAATAAAAAGTTAGGCAATTTGCTAATCTTGGGTGACCATCAAATTTGTAATAAAAATTGGAGCTGCTTGAATAGATTTTAAATAAAGTAGGTAAAATACTTAGTTATAAATGAAATCCTTTGGCAGACAAATAGCACCACGCATAATCTTTTCACCTAATGATTAAAAATCAGTTACCCTTGGTTAACTGTGATATATATTTTGTGCGGTTAGCTGGAGTCCTAAGACGTATCTTTATTTACACAGACCCTTTTAATCTCAACGAAAATCAGAATGCAATTAAATTGCGCGCGGAACGTGGAAAAAATATTTATATCATTTGTTAATAACTATTTTTTCTTACCCTGTATATTTTTACTTTATTACTTATTTTTCATCTCAGCCGTACGCCTTGTTGACGCACCCTATATAATTAAAGCTTAAATTATTGTATGTGTGTTAGACAATACAAAACCCTCTGTGAATGAAAGAAGTTTGCCTGTTTTATATCTGTCAGAAAATAGTATCGGTCTTACTATAATTCTCTTTCTGCAGAAATGAAAATCGAAAATTTTCTTACTGAATGTAACTTTATTTTTTACTTTTATTACACTTGTTAAAGTTAATATTTTATATGTATATTGTACGATAAGAAATTCTAAAATATTTTTATACCTACTCTAATGTTGATCTCTTAAACCTGGCTTCGGACAAATCGTCCCACGTATCACTTGAAATTCTATGCTTTAAACCGATGAACTAAAATTGTTTTCCTGTGTAATTTTAGTGCTACCTACATTTAAAAAAAAAGTAACACAAATATATTAAATATGCCAGTATCTGAACAAAATGAATTGCGCAATTGCACTTTACACGTTTGTCAATAACGTGCCAAAGTATAATTTTGTTGACTGTGGAAATAAATCGTGGATATTCCTTTACACAAACCACAATGTATGTTATATATTATTATAAGTTATTTCGCTCTGTATATATTTTCGTTAAGGTGGGCTCGGAAATATACACATTAAACGTACAATAGCATAAAGTTAATGTACTCAAAAGGATTGATGTTAATAAAATAATTTAGGACGGACAGTGGCGTTTGCTTTCGAAATTAGCCTAGGCCCTGCATTCCATTATTTTTAAACCCACCGACTTAAATAACAAATTTGTTGGCATTGATTCATTGAAAAATTCTTTCTTTTTATCAAGTGCAAGTTAATACAATCTGGCTTTGTTTCGTATAAAAGAAAGATGTTTATTTCGACAAAATAAAAATTAAGCATTATGTACATCGTATTGCCCTTTTTATTTTAAAAATTATACTAAGAACAAATATCCAGAAATTAAATTATAAAAAATCATAATATTCTTCGTCATCTCAGGTAATAAACGGACAGATTTGACGGTCCGATCTATCAAATAGTCAAATCTCCTCTTCTTTTGGACTGCTTTTCACTAGTTCTCTGCTGTCACTTCCTCAACGGCGCAAGATGTTGGAGGTAAATTTGTTATACAGAGTGTTTCAAAACAAATGAGAAACACTTAAAGAGGTGATTCCTTGCATGTTTTTTTTAAATGAGAGTGGAAGGTGTTGAATTAGATTATCTCTATAATTTTTCTTAACTAAATTTCAAGAAAAACTAACGCAATGGTATGGAAAAAAAATAATTTTCAGTAGACGGGTTTATTAGAATTTTTTTGTTGCCTGCATTTTTTGATAAAACTTACCGTTTCCAAATAGAAAAATCAAATCTAACAGGGGATAAAAAAAATTGCTTTAATAATAGTCAGTTAGTTTGAAAAAAAAAATTATTTAATTTTTCAATAATAAGAGTCTGTTGTGCTAAATACTATTGAAGGGCAACCGAAGACGAGTACTATGAAAATTGCAACTGCGTGACGATTATTAAGAGAACAACAATTATATCCATACCAGCAATGTAATGATGAATTAATACCAATGGTCATTGTTTTCAAAAATTCTCTTTTCGGGCGAAGCTAGTTTTTCAAAGCATTAATTTCAAAACTTTGATAATAAGCATGTATGGCCTAAACATAATACTCATTGACTCGCAGAATGTATGCATCAATATCAGTTTGCCGTTAACGTTTGGTTAAGAATTATCGATGATCATCTAATTCACACCTTGAAGATTAACCGATGGGTCCTGTTTTCGTGTTCTAAATAATGTACACCTTTTAACTACAAGAGATATGCATTGCATGCATGATGGTGCCCCAGCACATTTCACATGTACGAACGTTTTAAATCGTACTTATCAAAACTGCTGGTTATTAAAGCGTAGACTTTATCACTGGCCGCTTCTATCCCCAGATTTAAATCCTCTCGATAATTGGATATCGTCTTGTAATGTCATAAGAAATAATCCAGGCATTTTCCACGGAATTAAGGGCATTTTCAGAACTAACTATAAAAATTGTATTGATTTTGGCGTAGGTGTTTTACATATTTACATCGCTTTTCTGTGTTTTTATTTAAGTGACGCAGTTTAAATAACACGTTTTTAAAGAAGGTATTTTTATTCATGGTTTAGGCATGAATAAATCATTTAGTTTAGGAAATTAAATTATTTTCTTAATAGTTATTATTATAATTATATTTTATTACTCTACAGTCTTCTGCAGCAGCTTAGAACCGCAAAATTCTAATTGATGAGTGTTAATGTTGTGCGGAGCCATACACTATGCAATTGTTTGAACCGCATTGCGGTAACGGTATTCATCATTTGTTATACAATCCTGAAGAAGTTTTATTATATATGGCCTTTTGAACACTTAATATCATTTATCATATAGAATTTAACGCATTTGTAAAATACGCGAAAAATAATTTGTACATATCATCTGGTCGAAATTTTTATAAACGACACAGCCTGATTTAGCACACGGTATAATAAAATATAAGATAATTGTAAAAACTAATAATAAAAACTACACAATTTAAAATGTTCACACACCGTAATCCTTCAAATATCTTAGTTTTGCAGATGTGGACTTTTGATGGATGATATTTTTTTAATATAAATGCAATACTGTTTAGATTTTATTGTTTCAATTATTAAAAAAACACTTTTTTGTCAATTAGCCAAATAAAAATACGACACAGAGCGCGTTTCTTGGGATCTACAGACTTATAAACTGGCGTGGTTTGAAATCCCCTTTAATTCGACGAGATCTTGCAGTCATATTCAATAGCAAGTATATGTCTTTTCCAAAAATCTGCCTCCAATTTGCCTTGTATTATATGGATTTATTCGCTCTTTCGCCGAATACTCTCGGTGGAAATCGAACGACAAATCCGGTAGATGCTTCGGCAGGAAATTGCCTCGTTCTGGGCAAATTCGCTTGCCCCTGGCGCGGCGTGAATGCCTAAAAGAACGTGGCAAATAAACAGGAAAACGTGCATAATGTTTAAAAACAAAACAAAAATTCAGCTTTTAAAAATGGGAAAACGCGAATAAAGAAAGCGAAATCCAACTGGCTCCTACTGGGCTAATGCTATCGCAGGTAATATAAGGCAATGCCGAGCATTAAATGGGATCTAAATATTCTCAGAAAATACAGGGAATTATTGTAATTACCCATTCCTACCTGTCCTTATATTGCCCTTCCTATTAACTAACAGCCCCAGTTGAATAGTGATTGTGAAACAATATAGTTGTACGTGCGCAGAAATCGTTAGTGAAATTCAAAATGTCTTTCGCGAAAGCTTATTTACACACTACCTCGACAGCGAAGTACGACCCGCGTATTTTCCGTCACGAAGAACAAAAAATACCAAAAGAGGTAAGGCTTGCTGTTTTGAACATTTAACATAAATTTAAAAAAATAATAAAATTTAGCGATTTCAGAAACTCCAAACTGGAAGAATCCAATATAATCGATCGGGTTCCACGAATTCTATTAATTCGATCGAAAAGTGGGACGTAGTGGAGAGAAGGTTTATCAAATTGGTAAGTAAGAGGACAGGATAGTCCGCAAAAATCTGTACGTGAAATGAATTTTTCAGAAAACTCTGAAGCTGAAGGATGCACAAGCCGTATCCCACAATCAACCGCCAAACGCATCCAAGAGAACCACGAAACAAAAACGGTCTTCTTATCAACTCGATAACAACTTAAAGGTAAACCAATTTAGCAATTGAAAGTGAATAATTGAACAAATATAGAGTATGGTTTTCAGTTTTTATCGCATGTTGTTAATAAATATTTATTTCAAAAAACAACATGGTTTTTATGTTCGAAAGAAACAAAACGTTATGTCAGATAAATAGTGTCCGATAAATGAGACAAAAACTTTTTGAAATATCCGATAAATAGGACAAACTGTTTGTGCTTGTTTTGGGTGTCATTTTTCGTGCGGGGTCTTAAAAACTTTTCATTTCGATCGTACCCCTTAGATGTGTAGGGTGTTCACATTCAGCTCAGTTTGTTTTACAATAACATCGTAGTACCGTTTTTCTTCTTGAAGGATTTTAAGCAGTTCATAGATATTCGGATACCCTTTTCCAAACGGTTGTTATCCTTGTACGGAATATAATACATCTTAGAATAGCTGTAAAAGTAATTTGTTCAGTCACAACCTACCCTAATTGGATTATTTCCATAATTTTTATTGCGCCCGAAACGAGAAGGTTACAGGTGGTTTTGAATTCTGCACGAAACACGAGGTGGGTTAATTTCACTTAATTTTGTGAAAATGAAATATACACAAAGGTTTTCCGTGTTTTTCTCGAAATTAATTCATAAGCACATGCGTGTTGTTTGTCTATTGGCACCCCTCACATAATCGACGAATTCCCAAAATGGATGTTTTTTTAAATTGGTTATTGACTAACTAAATGTTGTCAAAAATCATCTGAATACAGTTAATTTAACGGTAGGTTTTTAAATGGTATATTTTTTCGCAGTTATCGTATTAGTTTATTATTAATTAGTCATTATCTTATTAAATCTGTGAACAATTTTGGCGATTTTGGATGTCGCATAAAAGCGAAATTCTTTAGGGACCGACATCTCGGTTAGTTGTTCTATACGAAAAAATTCTAGGCACTTGCCGCATTAACTTTTAATTGTATTTCTTTTTCAGAAAGATTTCACAAAAGATACCCCACAAAAGTTTCCTCTGCGTCACCATATTCAGAAATCAAATAACCGATCCGAAAAGACAAACGCCGCACATAACATTCGAACAAGTAAACCAACAAAGAAAAAAACGCTCCAGCGCAGCTCCATTCCCAAACCAACATTCCAGACCAAAATACATTCCGATCGCAAAATGCCAAGCAGTAAAGCGCCACTGAGAAAATCCCCTCAGTTTTTGCCAAGTTCCATTCCCAAACCCAGCCAAACCAGCAAGATATATCCCGAACGTAAAATACCCAAGAAGAAACCACCATTTCAAGTTGTTCGAAACTTCCTAAAAAAGATGTCCAATCGAGAAGACAAAACGTTGAGGAAATCAGAAGACGAAACTATTTCCGTAGCGACACAGGACACGGTCATCGATATTCTCAAACGTATAAGCATAGGAAACATCAATGTGGATCAATTGTATAAGAAGGCGCATCAAGTGCTTGCGAGAAAAATGAGCAACAAGATCTGTTTGCAAATTTGTACTAGGAGGATACAGAGTAACGTTCGGGAATTAGTTGGTGCTTTGGACAAAGAAGTCGGTGAAATAAAGGTGAGCACAATTCTTCAAGTAATTAGAATTCTTTGCACTTGTACCGTGCAATTTGTTTCAGCACTCTCATACCGGAGTTCAGACCAATTGTCGTAATCTGAACAATCTGGATCTTCAGAAGAAAACGCTGCAAAGAACTGGAACTGTAATACTAGTGACCTAATTCTAAATATGTAATATTCATCTCACATAAGGTAACAACCAATATACTTTTCTCAAAACCTGTAACAGGTATTTAGAAATTTTAAACACAAACGATATTTGTATTTAAGAAAATTTTTAGATTATTCACTTTTTCATAATACAGGGTGACATAGTTCTTTGGTATCAACATCAACAATTGAATTTTAATCGGAACAACTTCTATTTTATTGTCTTTTTGAATCTTTCATGATTTCCGCACAGTTTAAGAAATGTTTGCGGTTATGTGACTTGTTGAAAAATATATATTAAGAAAAGCCTGCAAAATAGATATTAGGCTAACTAGAAATAATCACAAAACTTAGGTTTAATGGATTTTTGTGATTTTCGAGTCTAGAATTTATACATATTTTTATACATATACCGGGTGTGGTCTGTGACTTTCAGAATTTGTAAATACCAATATCTAATTTTTTCTTAGTGCATTCTGTATATTATACCTGTAATAGAATATAGTATAAAACATCTCCTACATCTTTATATACAGGGATTGTGGAATTATCTGACTTTTTCTCATTTAAATTAAATTAAAAATGTTTATGTAATGCAAAAAAAAATATCGTAAACTAAAAAAACTACTTTTCTTATGAATAATTCGCAGGGCGAATATGCAGAAGACGAATTAATTTTATCAAATTATTTTCTATTTATTACAAGTTGAACACAACACTGCACTGTTTTGCAGAAACCCAGGTTCTAACGATAACTTTGCGACAATTCATTTCAGCTTCAATTTGATGTCCGATCAAATTAAAATACCTCTCTCAGGGTGCACTATCAGTCCCTTATTACTGCACACCAAAATTTGAAGCTTGACGCCTCTGTTCTTAATTTTTCTTATTGGATGATGGTTAGTTCACGACCAGCTGTGGCACTTTTTTCTACTGTGCATTCCAGCCGTTGTGAAAATGGCTTCGACCGTCCAAACCACTTTTTCAAAAATTTGCTTCTGAAATTTAAGTCTATTATTGTTTCGCAAAACCCCAGCCTTTATTGATAATCAGCATCCAATAGGAACTGAGTCGAAAAAAACTTAAATAAACAACTTCAACTAATCCATTTAATCTTAGGTCACGTTCATAATCTCTTTTAGAATTTTCGAGATTTTTCTGGAAATACAACAAAATATCCAATTGCTGGTTTTCGGTCATTATAACTCCATGTTCAGATAAGTCTCTCATAAAGCGTGAGTAGTATATTATGCAACAGACGTGGTAAACGGCATTTGAGTCACGGTCCCAAAAACAAAACGGTCGTAGAAAAAGTATACTATGCAACACGTTTGGTGAATTTTTGAAGTCGCTCGTTTATTAAGCACTCGCTTCGCTCGTGCCGAATAAACTCGTGACTCAAATGCCGTTTACCACACTTGTTACGTAATATACTATTTTACCTATTCGGGTAAGCGCTGATCTTTCTTCTTCTGAAACAATTTTATCTTGTATTTTGTATTTCACTTTACTCGTTAAACAACTTCAACTAGTGACATAATTACACTGCCACTTTAACTGGCATTTTAGACCCCCTTGATTTTGAGCCGTATATTACAAAACAGGCAAATATGACTCTTTCCGTCAGCAACAGCAGAGTTCTGGCAAGATTTAAAATAGTGCCTAGTATAGAATAGTCCAAAACTGGGTGTTTTAATTTGACAAAATTTATTTACAGATGTAAGATAAAATCTTTCCTTGAATCATTTATAATAAAAGTATTTATTTATAAATTTACGATATTGTTATATTTTTTGTCTTGATAAACATATATACTCACTGTGTTGCGTTATTTTTTAAATGAGAAGTGGGATTGAGAAAAAGTTAAGTAATTCCACAATCACCAGGTATATAGATAGGTATAGAAGATATTTTATGAGCGTTCAATACAGGGCGTATCATAAATCTATACTCGAAAATTCATTAAAGTTAAGACTTGTGTGTGTGTGTATATATATTTTGTGCAAATATTTACTGGTTGGCCTAATATCTATTTTGCAGGCTTTTCTTAATATGCTAATTCACATAACCTTATATATATCCTAAGCTGTGCCGAAATAAAATACGTCGGTCTGATGAAAGTTACCTTTATAAAAACAAAATAAAGGGCCAAATTCCAAAATTGATGCCGATACCAATGAATTGACGCACCCTGAATAATCTAGAAGTGAATCAATTTGTTGAAACATTACAGGTTTTGAGAAAAGTGTATCAGCTATCTTATGTGAGACATCCGGTACATGTATATAGTATGTACATAATAAAACTAATAAAGAACTTCCTTAATTATGTTTTTGATTAAATTATTGAAAAATTTAATGGACCCAATAATAAGATTATAAAAAAATACGATTCAACAGAAACTGCTATATTAGATACACTTTTAATTAATCCCCCTTATTGTATAATTGGCAAATACTGAGCTATAACTTAATTGAAATAAAATAGCAAGCACACAAGATAAAGTCTTCAATCAATTTCTAATAATCTTGATGTATCTGATTTTGCTCAGTGATATATAGGGCAGTACTTAAAAGTACATTCTAGATTTAAGTGCGTATATTTTTCTGTGCAATAATTTTGCCGATGAAACCATCGGAATGAACCTAATCAGTTTGTTGGGTGCAAATGGGGCTACTTATAACTTGAACTAGCCCTACCAAATTTCAACATATCTATAAAGAACCGATTTAAAAAAGGAAAGCTGATTCTCTCTATCTTAAAAATAAGATATTTTAGGACCCATGTTTATTTGAACGACCTCAAATTTACTCCATACCTTTAAATAAGTATCAGCCTGTATTAGTTACCTGCAAGTGTTCGACCCTTTCATCTTCTTCGCTTCTTATACCGCCTTGTAAAGGGATAAGGTTTTCGTTTCCAATATCTAAAATATCAGAATTAGTTGGTTTGTTGTAACTGAAACAAATAAGGGCCATATCGTTGATGCGTAAAGAATTGCAGCTTGGCAAACGCTAATAATTTTTTACTAAAAAGTGTGCAACGTTTAATAAAAACGAATTACTTATTGTTATTAACAACAAAAGTCTAAAAACAAAGTTGAAAATTGTTAGTTGAGCGCCAATACTAAATGAGATGGAATTTCAGCCCCGTCAAACTGGAAAACTTCACCTCAACCACGTATATAAACATAGCTATGAATTAATTTCGTTGTCAGAAAGATTTTGCAAAAAATATAAAAGAATTTCCTCAGCGATTTATAAGGGTAAAAAGGGCTGGTTACAAAGATTCTAAGGCCATACATACCAGCAACAATCTGTCTGATTTTGCAAATAAGCGTGTGTCATAACTTGTTAATTTAGTATTATATTATCGGTTTGTTACGTATTACTCAAAACCTGATTTTGACAAAACTTTGTACGCTCCTTTTAGGTAAAATCATGGTACGTTACTGATTTCTTTATAATTTTATTATAAACATTTTTATTTATTCCGTTTAATTTGTATTTTACTTCGCCTTCAAGATAAAAATTAAAAACCGTTGTCTGCATGTTCCGGAATCTTCGGGAGAAATCGTTTTCCTATGAATTAATCGAAAAACTTTTAACAGGATTTCCATAAAACAGGATATAGTTATTTTGTGGTCATCTGTGTCTTCCAATTTGTTCTTCGATTTTATTAAATTCTGGAAAATAAGCGGTTTTGTAATGAAAACCTAATTTTGAGGAACTATTAATTGTTTCATTCCAGGTACATGACATGAAAAAGACGCCACCACAGTGGAGTACCACAGTTTTACCTATGAATATTAATTAGATCACTCTTTTGGAGGCAACTAACATGAATAATTGTATTTTAAATACGAAAAATAAATTCCCTTATGAGAACAAATACACACAGTTCACAGCTTCAGTCAATTTGCAAGTTTATTATGTTTTATAAGACAGAAGCGTTAGACATGTTTTACATAATTTGCATAAAATGTTGTGTAAAAAATGGAATACAGTACTGTAAAACATTTGAAATGTTTATAACGGCATATGGAGCAAAAACAAATTTTTATAAGTGGTACAAGCTGTACCACGGACCTCGCTCTGAACGCCCAAGCACGTCTATAACTAATGAAAGCGTTGAAGAAACCGGATTCGCCAAATGTTAAGGTTATGCTTACAGTTTTCTTTGATTATCGTGGCAGAGCACATCAGGTCGTACGGTCAATAGAGTGAAGTTATGCGCCCTCCGCTAGAAGCAATAGGAAGAAAATATCCGGAATTGTGGGAAAAGAATTCACGGATTTTGCAACACGCCTTAGACACCATATTCACCGAATATGGCCTCCCGCGACTTTTTTCTTTTCCCAAAACTTAAGAAACTCATGAAAGGAAGGAGGTTTCGAACGAATGAGGAAATAAAGAAAACATCCCTGGAAGAACACAAAATTATAGCAGATAGTGCTTACCAGATATGATTCGGGGATTTCAAAAAAACGTTCGCACATATGGGGGACAACATTAATTGTGATAAATAAATAAATACTTTTTGATAAAACTTAGTCACCTTAGAAAGCAAAGCAAGTAGCATACATGTTTCCGTCAAAATCCAGACATATTTTTGGTTGAGAAATATGGATAAGATCTTCAGATTAAATTTTGAAACAACCCATATAGTTAAGAAAAAAATTATGCTTTGGTTTAAGTTACAAAAAGTTAAAAAAATGAAAATAATAATTATAAAAATATTAAATACTAAGCGCCTAGGTTAGGTTCAAACATACAACGAAGAATATATTAGCTATTGTTCCCGGAAAACATTAATATGTCTACAAATTATGTCAAATTGAAACTGTAGCTATTGTGGAAAAAAGGAAAAACATCATTTCCACTAATGAACATCGGTAATTTTATCACCCCCTTCATAATATATATGATTTTGATAGTTCACTGTGCAATAAAACTGTATGTACTTTTAACCTATCATGGTTTAATAAAATTACAACGGATAATAGTGGTCCAATAGATAGTGCCACTATTAGATTTCATTATGATACCTGTTCCAAGAGAAGTAGTGCTTATTATCAACACTAATAAAGCGAATAACAGAAAGTTTAGCACCCAATAAATTGAATTAAAAAAATATTCGGAAACAACGGTAAAAATCATTTATTTTATTTATCACCTGATTAATAAATAGTTTCAGAAACGAGCTGTTTAAAACTATTCATTCATTCAAAGCATTTTTTTTAATCCGTTCATGACAATCTGAATATGAATAAAAGATTGCGTTCAATACGTTTTCCTGGATCAGCGTCCTACTGACCTACTTACCTTGTTCCAAGGTCGCCTCGTCAAGCATTTTTAGATTGGGCAGGAATCTTCCTATTACCTGCCTGTACCCCGGAAATATATCGCAGCCAGCATTTCCAGCCACGTACAGATGTTCCAGATGCGGGCAGAGCTTAAGGAAGCTCAGGCTGCCGAAATTCTTTAACGCGTTTCTAGAAGACGCGATTGGATTATAAGGAGGAACTGTTTTATTAAACCCGACGCTTGAGATGATAGAGGAGAATTTAAGGCTCGGGCATTGCATCTAACTACTTTTTACGGCTGCTATCAATAAATTAAATGCCACAACTAATTACAACCTAACATTCCAATAAGCCTCTTGATGCAAGAACTCACTTACCAAATGTTACAAGGATATCTTTAATTGCTTCCCTCATAACATAAATAAAATATTTTTCTAAAAAAAATTTACAACCTCTCGAAATTTAAGTCTTTTACAAGACATACGTTCATAAGTTTCTTTTCTTAAAAGCTGCTCAGAAATTACCAGTATTGACACATTAATGAACACCCTGCATAGTGCAAAATAGCGAATAAGTTTTTCACACTCTTTAGCGTTCGAAAATGCTTTCATATTTCACTTAATTGTTTAAGTAGTCAATTTAAATTTTCATTTCCTTGTTGCAAAGCTGTTAAATTTAATTCGACAAATGGACAAAATGATTTCAATTGAATTTGCACATCTCATAACAATTTCTATTTAATACTCTACTAATATTAATATAGATGCAAAAAATGAAGATTATTATAATTATTATTACCACATAATTCAATGACAGTCAATAGACAAATATCTCGTTAAAGATTTGATATAAAATGCTTGTCATTTTTTTTAGAAATGAAATAATGACAGCGATAAAGCACAAGGGCTGCCATAGTGCCAAATCGTGCAACCCCGCATTAAGTTCAAATATGAAAAAACTGCAGAGTGGTCCCGAATAATTTTTGGCGGATTGCTAAAAGAAGGTTGCTAATCTCAAATTCACACCTAAAAAATTTGTTTCAGTAGACTTCGGGACCATAAATTTAATACATCCAAATAAGAAAATAAAAAACGGACTAGACGATCTTATTACTTTTCACTACCACTTTTTCTGTTGTGTTTAAACTATATAGCTACTTGAGTAATAGAGGCCCTGCCTATGCGGATAATACAGGAACCTATGAAGCACCTATGAAAAAATGTTTGACAAAGTCCATTCAACATGCGCATGCCCGTGATTTAAAATCTCGTTTTTACTCAATGCGATTGCGACATTCAACAACCAACATGGCCTACAATAGATCAAACATAAATTTGGATACGGTATGCTTATTTTCTTAAAATATGCCTAAGTCTCGTTAAGTGTTCTACCACGAGTTAAACGTTTAAAAATTAAATAACGAGAAGTGCAGGTTAGTGAGTGAAATGTGGAGGCGTGCGTCTCTACGAAAAGATGCGGGGCATCAATTTTTACCGTAGCCGGGTCACTATATAAACAAACTAATTTTCTCAAAAACTTCTACTTACAGCCAAACAATAACTGTCTCTGTTTTCACTCCATAGATGGCGCCACAAGTACAGCTCAGCAAAATAATACAATTCACTCGTACTACCCAAAATTAAAATGTACTTCTTCTTACTATCACCTTAATGGTGGTTTTAATTAATTATTATTAATAAGTAATACGTATTAATACTCTCCTGTTAACTAAAATTTAATTAAATTTGATTTTTAATTGACTTTTTTCTTAGTATTCAATAAATTATGTGAATGAGTCATAATTGTAGAGTAAGAGTGGTGGAGAGTTATTTATTAATTCAAGTCGGTGCAGCAAAACAGAGCCAGAATCATAACAACAACACACAGAATAGGTATTGTTAGTTTTGTAAAAAGCAAAGTAATAAAATAAAACATTTAATACAACTTACATCTCAAGATACAGTAAATATACATCAACCCTTACTAACCTGCGAACATCAATAACTTTTAAAGATGTCAGAAAAGCACAAGGAGTTAGATCAGACACTTCGTTGTCGGCAATGTAAAACTCTTCTAGATTTTCAAAACTGAAATCTTGGTTTTTTAAACATTCGTTAGGGTTATGTATAAAATTCCTACCCCGACATTGAATCGATACAAGTCAATTGGCATCTGTTAACTTTTAAAATTTTTAGGTTCTTAAGCCCACATCCCAAATCTCTAAAAGAAGAAACAACACTTCCATCTAGATTAAGTTCTCGTACAAAAGGCAGATAAGTACTTAGTTGCTGGAGTGATACGTCCCTGCTTATCACTCTCAGTTTTATTTGCGTGACAGATTCCAAGTTGTCAGTGCCAGCAACTCTTACCTGAAACAATATTGTTAATAAAACAACTGGGTACCCTCAGGCGCTAATTCTCATTCTTAAGCCCTTTTTTAGTATTTTTTAGTTCATTTAGTTGTTTTCACTTTGTGCCACCGTAACGTATTTAAAAAGGAATCAGCCCTATACCGTCAACGAAACAGCCCCGTTAGATGGTAGTAAAGCAATGGGAAAGTTGCCGCCTCAATAATTTAATAATTTATAGAACGTGTTGCATATTATGATATTTCCTACAATCATTAGATTTTGGGTACATTTTTGCAAAACAGCATCAAAAGATATCGTGGCTAAAATCAGCCGAAACCATCCGATCGCTCTCAAACCCATGAAGGGAGTGCAAAAAAGTTAAATAACCATTGTGCACGAGCACATTGTCAATAACTTTTCTTTATTCGAACACCCTATACCTTAAGTGTTTTTTAAAATAGATAAATAAACATTTAAAGTGACAATACATTTTACAATATATGGAAGAGTCATCATGGATGCCACATTTATTTAAAATTGATAAAGATGAAAAAACAACAGATACTCAAAGCAATATTTAAACAACACAATCACTGTATTCTTAAATTTGATACATTTGTACCCAAATAAGTATCGATAGAGCTATATGACAACAGATCAACAAATATTTCTGAAGGGAATTTCGCATTAATTATATATGAAAACCGTTCTCTTTAGGTATATACCTATCCAGTTAGATCTTACCAATAGCTCCCTGAGGTTGAATTCCCAAGGTACGTGACTTCTGTAGTCTTCGAATTCCTCCGACGTGTATTGCGTAATTATATCATGGTGAGATGATTCAGAAAGTGGTGAGCTGTAATCATCGGACAACGAATTCGATCCACTGAATTCAGAAACTGGTGTTAAATTTTGCGTAGTGAAATCATATATAGAATCAAGTTCATGGGATGGGTCGTCACGTGGCAGTTGCTGCTCTAAATTGGGACTCATTATTATGGACTAAATTCTAGAATTAAGAGATTGCGCTAGTTGGAGATACTATTATAACACACCACTCTAAATTCAGTAATTTTTATTATTTACGTACCGAAATAAACCTCAAAAATCATTAAAATTGCAAATTTTGAATTCTAATTTTTGTTATGAACGTAAAGATCAACTTGCTGTTACCTATTTACCAAAAATACAAAACAAAGTAGTTTTAAAATTTCGTAACAAGATAACGGCTTTAGAGGGCATTTTTAGATAAACAATAACTAACGAATTATTATCTACCTAAGTGTGTAAATCCAGAATATAAATGATCAGGGAGCAACATTCACCAAAAAAATCTTTGAAAACTGGTAATCAAGCTGTTGGAGATCAATGTTGCTATTGAAACAACAAACAACTACGTCACAATGACGTCACAGAAACAAAAATATTATTTTGATTTGATAAGTACCTATCGTCTGCCTTATTTTAATTATCTTTCTTGTAGTATAACAATTAATTAGTAGTATTGTGCTTCACCAATCTATAAACAGAGGTAATACATTAACCATTTGTCAATGTGTAAGGCCGGTAATAGGCGAATGATCACACAATATGTGCTCTAATCTAAGTATACAGGCTTGGTCTATTGGCCCAATGATCCTGGTAAATATGGCTAACAGCAGTAAAAAAACCGTTAGTATCTGGTCGGTTCATTTTAGCATTCGTGGCGAGATTCTGTGGAGGAGCATTGCACGCGGCGGGTTAATCTCCGTTCGCTCCTAGCAGAATCCGTTGTATTCGTTCCAAAACCTTGGTATCGATCTTTTTTCGTGTGACTCTGTTTCGGTAGTGTTTGGTGATCGTTTTTAAGTGTTTAAGTTCTGCCGGCCCTGCTGTTTTATCCGTTCACACCGGTATGGAGGCCGGATGGGCCAGGATGGTCCGCAATGGTAGCGGGGGAAGACCGAGTCTTTTTGGTGTCGGTCAAAGAACAAATGTTAGTTATTTTTTTGTGTGATGGTCTGTGACCAAAGGGAAAATCCTCGACGTAAGTCGATAATGGGCGAATGTCCTTAGTTGACTTGCCCCAGTTTAAGGAAAAGTAAGAAGAAGATTCCACGCCGGTTTAAGCTCCGTTCGCTCCCGCCAGAATCCGGTGTAATTGGCCCACAAAGTTTGAAGTCGATTCTAAAATTGTAGTTTCTGTTTTCTAAGTGTTTTGTGAAAGTTTCAAAGTTGTAGTCGTTGTCGGTCCCGCTGTTTTTGACAAGAGAAGAAATTGCTTGACGGAAGTCGGTAATGGGCAAATGGCCATAGTAGTCTGCTCAACTGCTTGTGAAAAGCAACGAAGAAGAAGCATTCGTGGCAGATTCTGTGGCTATGCTATTGTTAATTTAAATAAAATAGCTTTCAGACTACTCGAATTTAATTTGTTTTTAGCAGTCTTATGTCTGTGTCAATATCAGGATGAGACCCCAAATTAAAATTTCAGAAATCACCTTGAAGGTAATATGTATATTTTATAAAATATTGTATAACCTAGTTGGTTTGTAGAGACTGGAAAACATAGGTGAACCATGTTTTGGAAAAATATATGGTATTATGGTAAAAAACACTATTCTGATTGTTGGTTTAGAAGTCGATGTAGACAATGAACCAAATTTTATATACAGTTTTCCCGCAGAAGTTGATCTCTATGGAGTTTTTGAAGTTTATTCAGATCATTTCCATAAGGAAGAAATTGTAGCTCGTATTTCAAGAGTAGATGTAACTGACAATCCAATATTTATATCTCTAAAGCTAGGTGCAATAAACGAAGTTTCGTTCAATCTTGTTTCCAGTAATAAAATTGAACACATACAGTTTATTGTAACACCAGAACAAGAGATTAATACAGATTTTGCACATATTAGGCTAAAAGGTGAATTTTGTTTAAACACGTGCCAAGATCGGGAAAAACTCTCTAAAGATTTGCAACAGCTTCGTAAAACTGTAGCTTCAGGAGCTATAGCCTTCACTTTTAATAGCTTAAATGTTATTTTGGTAGCAAATGATAATGAAAATGGTATAATTGGTTTGACTGGTGATCCATCTTTTGGGGAAGTTTGTGATGAAGCCAATATTAAGAATGAAGGCATTCAGAAGAAGAAAAAAAACCTTAATAACAATCTTGAAATTGTGGATATGAGAATGTTGAAAAAAGTTACAAGTAGTGATCCTAACAGTGAAAATACAAGTCATTCTCCGGTTGTCGCCTTTAATAGAAGTGAGTAACTGCAAAGTTTATATGTGAAGGGTGAGTCCACAATAAAGTTCATAAACGAATATATTTGGATCATTTTAGGTATAAAAATCTCAATTTTCTTAAATGGCACACCATATATGTTATTTTTTCTGAAAGATCCAAGAAAAACCTACAACTCGTATTAAGTATGTCATATACCTATTTGTCTAAGACTTAACATTAGTTGGACATGACAACCTTATTAGCCAAATGTTAATATTACAAAACGGGTGAAAGAACTTAGCAATTTTAGTGAAAATAACTGCCAAATTTCCCCTTTCTCTTTTTCATATTCAAATGGTGGCCTCAAACCATTGTTTAGTTGGTATACGTCTATTAGGGTACTTCCCCTTGTAAAGTCTTACTGCCATCAAACTATTCTTTCCGCCTCACCCAGTATATATCAATTAATTCAGCTTTAAGAAACCCTATACTTTTTTTTATTATTTACTGACACGGCAATCAATTTTATGAATTTATTTACTCAGGTATTAGGTAATCATTTGACAATGTCATTGTCTCATGGCCAACTAATGTTATAGCAACAGTCATATATATGTCACTTTAAGAATAGGGTGTTCGATTTTTAAAAATGTGTTGTTAGGGTTTTTTGAGCCTTAAATTGTTCATCCTGACAATTTTTACAATTTTTTTATTTATCATTTTCTTATAAATTTCCCAACCTCATAAATTTGATACCAAAGAAATAATGAACTTTACTCTATATTTGACTCACCCTGTGCAAGGGTATCATTTATTGCGGTTCATATAAGTGAGTGTGAATATGTGCAATATTCTCTTCTTAATGTTGTTAATATATTTTATCCCAGGGCCAGGTAATTTACTCAATTTAAACATTAAAATTGATTTTCTGGCCATGATACACAAAAAGACTAATCTCTCAAAGATGTATGGTATACTACTGGAATGTGCAATTAGAAATTTGCGATTATATGAAAGTGCTCTTCAAGAAAAAGTCAAACAAGGAGTTACTGGTCCATGTACACCAGAAACGACCCATTTTTATCCTAAAGAATGTGGTCATTTCATAACCAGAATCAATTTCCATGAACCAGAACACACACAGAGTAAGTCAGACATTAAAAGTGTTATTGTAACCATGAAGAGCTTCTTTTTTAGGAATACAAAGGGAAGTACTACATAAAACCCTGTTGCTTAGTACAGATAGACCAATTTTTCGAAAAAATAATCAGTTTGTGTTTAAAAAAAATCAAAATAATGGACCATTAATTTGTCCCCATGAAGGAGTTAAATTGACAGATAATGGTGATTTTATTAATTATATTACAACTGTATTATAATTCAATGATCCATAGGTGGAAAAATATCCATTGTTAGAGGAAAATATGAGTATTATCACTACTGCCAGAACAAAATAGATGACAATGGATGGGGATGTGCGTACCGTTCTCTGCAAACTTTAGCTTCTTGGTATAAACATCAAGTACTAGATTGAGACAAGGGATAGATTTTAATTCTAACATTTCTTTTTTTTATTTATAAAGGGGTACACTGATAAAGAAGTCCCAACATTTAAAGATATTCAAAAGTGTCTTGTGGAAATTGGAGACAAACCACCCAGTTTTATAGATTCACGCCAATGGATCGGTTCAACTGAAGTTAGCTTTGTTTTGGATAGTTTATTGGGTGTCACCTCAAGGATTTTGTTTGTGAGCTCTGGTGATGAAATGGGCTCGAAAGGACCAGAACTTGTTAATCATTTTGAAGTACATGGGTCTCCAGTAATGATAGGTAAACATATATTTTGCAAATCTGTTTCCGTTATTAAGTTCGTTAAGCTTTTGTTGGAATTTGTCTCAGTCCAGACATGGTTTTCACCTTTTTAACAATATCTCCTTTTTTTAGGTGGGGGTGTTCTGGCACATACAATCTTAGGGGTCGATTATAATCAACAAACAGGGACCTTGAAATTTTTGATACTTGACCCCCATTATACTGGTGCTGAAGATTTGCATATTATACAAAGTAAAGGGTGGTGCGGATGGAAAGGGGTAGATTTTTGGGATAAAAGTGCCTATTACAATATGTGTCTACCTCAAGTACCCAGGGAAATTTAAAGGAAGCTCATTAATCATGAGGATCATTGATTATAACTACTAACTGGGCTGTTATAACCTACACCTGAAAATATCACATTTGGCACCTGCTTTTTAAATTGGGGCCACAAAATGCTGTCCACCGCCGTGGATTTTGATCAGCACTTGCGCAATATGTTTTAAATGGCAGGGATAGAAAAAGTGTACCTACCAGCTATCTGGGCTTTATTCTTTATTTTTGTATAGGGTTTAGTTCAGTTGCATTCGTAGTCAACACAAAAGAGTAAATTGAGTCGTTTCGTGCCTCAACGATTGTGTGCTTCTTACACAATCATTGCAATAAATGTGTGTCTCTTTTTTAGGTTCCACTAGGGAGCAAGGTATTATAATGAATTAATCCAATAAATAGCACTTTCCAGTTCGAAGAACCTTATTAGGACGCTTCGCATCCAGATGCGATATGTTTAATCATTATATCTACTGCAAAGGTTCAATGGGTTAAGTTTTGGAGGAAACTTAGTGGCTTTGATAACCGGCTTCAGATTTACCTTCGGTCTACTGTTATCTCTCCTTAACTTTTATTTTTCTTATGGTCGCTATATTGTATTTTTGGAAACACCATCAAATTTCCACCTCATTGATGTCTCACCAGTGTCCAAAAGATTTTATCACACTTCATAAAGTTAGGCTATGGTTTATTTGACAATAACATTAATCAGCGAATCTGGGAGGCATTCTAAAATAACAGAGGCTGTATTATTGATTTCTTTCAAGTAATTCAAGTTGTTTAAGTATCGTAAGCAAATTTGATAAAGGAAAAACTGATTTATCATTTTTGCTCTATTCCAGTTCTGTATTATTTGTTTCTACTATTATTATTGGTGATACTTGATCTTCATATTCATCTATTGCATTTGTGCACGAAGGCAACAATTCAGGATTTTGCTCACTAAGTTTTCCTTTCCGAATTACAAATCATATCACAGCTTAAATATTCTTCACCAAATTCTTCTTCCGCCATTTTGTTGCATAGCATTGCACCCATTAACAAATCTAAACTTGGCTATACGGATGTTTTACACTCTACATTCCGCAGGCTTTCCTTCTGCATTTGAGAACGGCCACACATTGCTTTTAAAATTTTACATTCCATTATTAATTGTATTGTTTTCTTTCATTTATTTTTATAAAATATTTTTTATATTCAATTTAACTCAACAATAACTCCAAGGTATAATATCTATTATACCATCTTTACTCTTTAGTCAATATCATTCTTTTATCATATTATTCACCATTTTTTGATCTATATATCTTTATCCAAGCATACAACTTGTTTTAACAGTATTGATGCCTTCATAAATATAAATTATACTAGCTGTATAATTGTCTTATAATTGGACAAAATCTGTGTGTTAGACAATAAAGCTGTATTATTATTATTATATACCACTACTTCGCCTAATTGATCAAACAACCTAAGTCTGACGTTAAAGGTAGTAAGTGTTACAATAAAAACATTACAAATACAATTTTATTCCAAGGTTTAGCTTCAGTAATATATTCGCTTTTAGATACATTTTGTCTTTGTCCCAATTTTTGAAACTGCTCGTTTTCCTGGATTTGGATTAATATTTTTTTGATCTAAATCTAAGTCTAAATGTTTCTTTGCAGCTGATATGTACGATGTGATAAATGCAGCTTTTTATGAAATCTTTAATATACCCTTTAAAGAGATTATTTTTCTTTTTAAAATGCCAAACCTGTGCCAATTAGAGAACGTTCATCTTTACTATGACATTTTTCACACTTCTTGAAATACCAATTTTTTCTCTTTTATATCCAGCACCATGTGATATAGGTTTCTTGGGTGCAACATTTGGCATTTAATTACGGTTGTACCAACGTTTTCAAAATATTTTTGGATTGAATATTTTTATAGGATGACCTGTAGGATGATGATCACGGTATCGAACCGAAGGATTCTGACTGTAAACAACTTTTAATTTGCAAGCATTAGATCTTACCCCATAAAATGCATCGTATGGGTTTAAAGGTTATACTGATGCGAATTATTGTAGGAGGTAGTTGCGAGCTCATACAATGCAAGGTGTTTTATTTAAAGCATATTTATACTCTTTTGACTTCAGCCGTTTAACTTTTCTACGAGCGTAAGGCGCCCTATATTAGGAAACGGAAGTCGTTTCGACACAGGTATATCCAAAACATCCGTTTAACAAAAGGTCATAGGTTGTGCAAAGTAACTTTTTTCCCCAGCTAGGTAAGGGATTTGAAAAGGATTTTAGTGCCTTAGACGAAAAGATCAGTGCGGTTGGTTTTTGGCGGTATAGCGGTATATAGGTATAACAGTTCACTTAGTGGTGGTAGTATTTTTTAGTATTCATTCCTCTTTGTTTCCAATAAACTTTAAAAATGTATGATGTGCTCTATTGTTATGTATTCAATTTTATAATAAATATATATACATTTCGTAATGTATGTTTCCCAATATATAATTCGAGTGTAGGATAATTGTAAATAAAACAAACTTATTGAGTTATATATAATATATTAACAAAAAAACTGAGATTACTAAAATAAATACGATAAAATTGTCAAAAATTTACTTATGTTATATATTCGATTGTGAAAAAGTTTTAATTTGTTTTTCATGCTATTGTCATAAAATATGGGAAGAAGAAAATTTTAATACTGACCAATTAATTTTGTTTATCATATAGCCAATAGTTAATGCAAAAAAATTATAATACAGGGCGTTTCAAAAAATATGCGCCAACGCTCCACTGGAGAACATAAAAAGAAAAGTTCATTTGGTATGGAGATGTTTATTTTCAAGATATGGGCGAGGGCGACTTTTTTGCAATTTTTGTTATTTACTTTGAATAAGCCACTAAAACTACAACTTTTTTTTACTCTTGAGTTGTTTTCATGTCTTGCTTCATTTTCTAGCAAAAATTGACAAAACATTTTTCTGAACATTTATTTTTTGGAAACATTGATCACACAAACTTTTAAAAGATTAACACTCAACAAAATGAGAAAAATGACCACCATCTGCTTCATTGCATGCATATAGCTAGCCTATGATGTAAGGATTCTCACAGCAGCCGTGTTTTTTTTTTTAATATTGAACCCCATATCTTGAAAACCAAGCAATGAATGACGAATCACCAGCTGAGCGTTAGAGCATTTTTTGAAACACCTTATACAAACTCTAAAGAAATGACGAGTTAAAAAATGAATATCATCCAAACTCATTTAACAAGAAAATTAAACGAATGGAGATACACTTTGAACTATGGCAGAGGCATGTAAAATGTACGAGTGCAAACATTTTCAATAATGAAAAAGAGAAGATATCACCTTAAAAACTTGTTTAGTTTATTATTTCAATTAGGTATGGGACGGGGTATATGTAATGGGTAAAATTTACCAACAATCAGTAATCATCAATTAAAATATTTGTACTCTTACATTTTTCCCAATATAGATAAATCATTTTAAAAGACTCCAATTCACACCCTGTAAAATCACACAATAACTCTTTAATAATTCAACAAACAATATATATAAATTAATACATATAAGAAAAGAAAAGAGCATTTCTTATTTTGTACCGCCCAGCATTATGTGGTCTATTAGGTAATAGTTACAGAAAAATCAATATACGTTAAGGCCTCCCCCTCCCCCAAAGCAGACAAGTAATAACAAATCATATACATGAGCAAAATCTAGACTAACATTATTTTTGGATTAGGGTATCAGTCATTTACATACATAATATACAAGATTTTCTTGTACCTCACACACTATCTCAACATGGGAGTATTCATTACCACCAAAGCGAATGACTTTCTCGATTATTACTTTGTTAAGCAAACCATAAACTTTATATTTTTGTCATTTCTTTTCAAAGTTAAAAAATTAAATTATTTTTTGCAATAAATTTTATCTTTGAAAATTGAATATGACGTTAATTGCAGGATGAAGAACAATTCACCTATTGAAAATAATATTGTAACATGCTGAACGTTTTATGCCATATATTATTTTGGACAATTTATAAATACATTATATAGACCGTATAACAAATTATAATAAAAAATTTATTCAAAAAGATATGTTACATGACGTACGGATTTAGATATGTGACAAAGCAGTCACTAAGGCACGATTGTTTTCTTAAAATTATTCGTCAGTAATTTGAGCTCCTTGAGTATGAAGGCCTAAAAAAATCACAACTCCTGCTGTAATGTGAAGAGCATTCGAGTAAAAGCAAAACTAAGCAGCCATTATTTTACAATAGTTCCAGTCAGATCCAACCACAGGTCAGTTTTATTTATTTTTTTCTATATATATATATATATATATATATATATATATATATATATATATATATATATATATATATATATATATATATATATATATATATATATATATATATATATATATATATATATATATATATATATATATATATATATATATATATATATATATATATATATATTATATATATATATATATATATATATATATATATATATATATATATATATATATATATATATATATATCTTAACAAAAAACGGTTGTAGGCCTATTTCTGATCACTATCCACGAAGCGGGTAATTTACACACCATAGTTACCTTACGTTACTACTTCGAGGTCCCGGAATTCGGGAGGCGGGTCTGGGTATTCCCGTAGGCCTGGGTAAACCGCTACTTCGAGGTATTTGAGGTTTAAGAAATGCACCGGCCTTCTCTTTCGATAATGACACCTATAATGGATTAGAAGCCCTTAAATTCAATTAGTACCGAGTATCGGATACTCAAGTTTTGATATCACCAAAGACATTAAACTACAGGGGAGATGCAAAATTAATTTAAAAAAAAAATAATTACTGCATTCCCTTTGGAATATTCGAAAACAGTGTAATGGTTCAATAAAGGTTTAATAAATGAAAACAACAACAAAAAAATCTGCAGTCGACTTTGCAAACGTTGCGTCTTTTAAATTTGCAATTTTATTTAAATATGTTTTCTTTGAATAGGGCAGTCTCGAAAAACGGCCGGTTAATATACTACGACGAATATTTTAAAAGGTTATTAATGCAAGAGCCTGCGATCGCGAACTAGCCTAACAAAAAATGTAACTGCTTATATCGGTCACTGGGTGCAATAATGGCACATATCAAAAATAGATATTTTTTGTTTTAAAAAGAGAATAATACAAATCAATATGTAATTATAAAGACATATCACTATAAATTTTGTAATAAGTGGGAGAGTTGATATGAGTTATCTCAATATTTCAGTTTTTATTTTCCTAAATCACTTGTTTTCCCGGAAATATCATTTTGTGGATGTGCCACTATTGCACCCAGTGAGCAATATGGCTCATTCTTTCGCGTTCTGTGCATTGTTGCTTTTACTTACAACAATCTATTAGGTAACACTAAAATTTCAAATCTTTTAAATTTCATTTTAGCAGCTGATCATGACATTAGTGTAGCTGCATAGGATATTTATTTCCATTGGAAACAATACAATTCTCTTTTTGAAATAAATGTAAGTATAAATATGAAAAAATGATGAAAAAAGTTTCCCCAATCTTTAGGCGCATCGCTTTAGCTCCGCCTTTTGGAAGAGAACGTGTCACCATAATGTCTGGTGACACGTATTAGTCATGTTGGTTAGTAGTTTAAAAATTAATGAGCGAAACTCAAAACATGATTGTGTTGTTGGAAGCTACCGCTACATTCAATATAATTCAAAGGGGTTATTTCTTGCTTTCCTGAACAGCGTATTAACAAAATTAAATAAAAATTAATACAAATGAAATTAATTATACCAATAAAATATTTTAGTTATGTTTTGTTTTTATAATTGTCGTTCGTAATATATAAATATTACGAATGACAATTTCATATTTGACACTTGTATTTGCGAAATGGAGACCACAGTTCTTTGTTCATTGTTGTATTTTAGTAGGTAATTATTTTATCTATATTCTAATCAAAATGAATGAATGAATGTACATTGTACAGCTGTATAAATAAATGAAAGTGCAAAATGGCGTAATTTCCAGCAATCTCAGTACCTAATATGTTTACTTAAAAATCAAGAAACTTCTCTCCTCTCCCTTACCTCTGTAGTCTTTCTCAGTTGAGCATGGTTCTTTAAGTTTGTCTCTGCTGGTGGCACAACAGGTAAGTTGGCACTGATGGGTTTTAAACTTGTATAAGATCCTTTCAGTTGATTTCCCATTATTCTCAAATTGGTCTGCGACGGTGCTCTCACCAGATTGCTCGGTCTATACAGGGTGGTGTGGGATCCTCCAATATTCGTGTGTATTGTTTTCAAATTTCCATAAGATCCCCTAATATTATTCGAAAGCGCCTGTAACGGCTTTTGACTAGCTAGCGTGTACAAAGTATGCCCCGTTGTTTTCTGTTTGATTTCAGTGCCTTCAGCCAAATAACCCATGCTTTTTGTTGGATGCTTAGGATAATTCTCTATGGAGGTCTGAAAAGATATGATGATATGATATATGTTAATATGTTAACAGTCTGAGATAACATCAATTATTTTGAGTTTACCTTGGTTGATCATGTTTAGCGGACACTTTTGTATGATTGTCACTTGTATATGTTAACAGAGTCTGATATAACACCAATTATTTTGAGTTTACCTTGGATGATAATGTTGACCGCACACTTTTGTATTCTTCTGATGATAGCTCAGAATCTGACAGGTGTTCCCTAGTTCCTCTGACAATTGGAGATAATAAAGTATTCTCCCAAATTTTTTTGGCCCCTATATTTGGCTTGGGTGTGGACATTGCCTGATTTAAGGCTGAAATCAAAGCCATAATTAAATTCATAAGATTAACAAGTAAAACTCTGACAAACAAGTGAAAAAATGATGATCACCATCAAACATTTGCTAATATTGGTAAAACAATTCAGATGTAAAGTGCAGAAAAAGGAATATATATGTTTAATTTTCAAAGTTTCGTTTTGTGATTTTTTTTTATTAACTTACTTCTTTCTTGCATTTCAACAATAGCATCAATATCTGCCATATTCAACATTTTATTAGAACCTTTACTACTGCTTGATAGGCTGCTCATTCTGTCCAAACTGTCCGCTGACCCTAAAGAAGATCTTTTGATGTTAACAGTCCTATTTAATTCCCCATCCTTATAAGCAGAATTTATTTGGTTTACTTTCTCTTCCACACAATAATTTAACTTATTCAGATCTGGTTTATGAACATCAGACAAGGAGTAACGCTTCTTCATATCTTCTATGCTATTGCTAGGTAGAATCATTGTTGCACTTGATCTTGAATGACTTAAGTCTTCAGAAGAAAGTTGACTCAAATCTTTTTCCACACTCTTTGATGTATTGCTATCCAAGAAGTTGTCTTTATGCATTTCATAAGTTAAATTTAACGATAGGCGGTTTTTCTTAAGATCAGATTTCCTGAATGTACCATTTAGTTTTGGAGTTCTTCTGTAAGTACCATTATGATTTGTGGAAATCTCAACTTTTGGAGAAGTGAATTGGGCAGCTCCCGCACCAGATTTTGATTCGTCAATAGTCTTTACTGAATTAAGTTGTCCTTTTGAGAATGTGCCTGCAATAAACAGATTGATTTAAAAAGTCCAAACAATAAATAAATATTTTTTTCTTTGTATTTTTAAATTTTTGTTACTAAATCAAAAGAATTTCTATCCAAACACTTCTAACTTGCTAGATTATATCCATAAAAAAAAGTTTTACAAATTATTATGTTTTACCAATGTTATGAAATTAAAATCCATAGTAAAAAAAAATCAATAATAAAAAAACTTACTTTCTAACATATTGGATCCAATTTTAAAGGTTGAATTGTTGCTATTATCACTGCCATTTTCTTGTACTGTATCAGACACAGTACTATTTTCTAACATATTCTTTCTAAAAGAGTGATTTGTGGACACTTTCTTCAGAAAATTTTCTGGGCTGTCAGAATTAATGCTACTACAACTTTCAGTTATAGACTGGAATATAGGTGCTTCTGTGTCTTGTAGCAAAGCAGTTTCTGTAAAATCTTTATCTCTAATCTCTCTTAACACAGGATCATTTTTTATAAAACTATTTTCCATTAAATTGGCAAATGTTGAAGAACACAAAGAGTTGACCAGACTTGGGGGTGACATATTTTGAAAGGAGTCGAACTCACTAGAATTTAACATAAAACTATCAAAATTGTTTATGGGTTGAGACAAATCAAAATGAAGAGGTTTTTTAGTAAAATAATCCTGTGTAGGTTCTGGTTCCTCTTCAACTTTTTCAGATAATTTGAGACCAGAACTAAATAAAATCTCAGTGGAAGACGACATTTCAGTTGTGTCACTGCTACTGTTATAGAGTTGTTCATATTGTTCTATGCTGGGCCGAATCAGTCTTCTTTTTGGCCGAGTAAAGGTCCTTGTATCAATATTCTTGGCAGACTTTAAATGTGCAACTAAGTTCTTTTTCGAAATACAATTCATTTCTTTATAGAGCCATCCTCTACATTCAATATTTGTTTTGCGTTCTGTATCACATAGCCTGCAACAGGATAATGGTAAACCAGAGCCAAAAATAAATACAAGAGACATCTATTTTAGAATCAAAATCCTTACCAAGTTTCTTCATTATCTAAATTCACGTTTTCAAGGTCTAAAATATCTGACAAATTTTGTAAAACATAGGAATTAATTTGTTGCTGCTGATCCAATAAATTATCAGTTGATAAATCCATTATTGCAAAATAAAACAAAACAAAATTATTATAAGAAACGCTTTTGACATTTAAAACAAAGCAACTGCAATACTACTTTCACCAAAGTGATATGAACAGAATGGACAAATTGCTCTTTACTTGATTTTTGTATTCATATTAATGTAATGAACTGAATAACAAAAATTTAGTCCATTACACTTTCATTTCTGAATTTGACATTTGACGTTCTACTAACAATCCAAGGAATGGAATGATGTTTATTCCTCGTTAATCAATGGGCCATAATTTCATTTTGGCCTTCTTTGTTACGTTTTCTAGATCACGAGTATAGAACTGGAAGAACCAAGTTGCAAACGACTTTAATTTATGTAAAATTAATTTAAATATTTAACTAATATTTGAATGGAAATCAGTGCAATCAATCGCAAGGTTAATGATTCGAAAATTAATGCAAACTCATAAATCGATTTGAACCCTGGAAACGTTTCAATACTTGTAATAAATAGTATATTATGCAACAAGAGCGGTAAACGGCATTTGAGTTAAAAAGTTTATCGAACGTGTTGCATACTATACTTTTTCTGCGACCTTGAGTTTTTGGGTATATTGTCGCACATTCACTGACATGACTGTCAGAATTGATAAACGTCAAAATTCAAAGCATGGGAAATATCTCCGAAAACATCCGATTGCTTCCAAATCCGTGCGGTAAAATCCCGGAAATGTCCGAAGTGGCTCGGATTCATGGGAAACGAAACTGACTTGGTAAAGTGACGCTTTCCGCACGTTAGATCGGTGGGTAATAAGGTATTTTACAGACGGGAGTAGAAAAAAGCCATTATCGCATAGTTTAGAAACAAATAACGAAAACGAACAAAGCTGTAAATTGGTTGCGTTCGCTGATTCTATCCAAGGAGCAGCGGATTTATTTTCGTAATAAAGGAAAAGAAAAAGGAGACGTAGCTGAACCCAACCATATATTTGCAACCCACAGTTTATGTAATATTAATGTGACACCGAACTAATTATCTATATCACTGCATCCACCGAAATCTACAGGCTGCATGGTTTTTGATAGGTGGCCCTACGTATAGCCGTTTTTTAAAGCTATGGAGAAGAGTATTATAGCTTACATGTATTCGCTGCTTCTGTTTTCGGCGGTGCAGCAGAAGTTATAGAATAAATTGCTTAAATTTTGTCTGACCAAAATCATTCTATCTATTATTATTATGGTTTTGTATTTTGTGATCGAACTTAACATTTGTAATTTAAAATACTGCGGAATGTGGTGTATGAGCTACAGTTTGTTTGGACAGCTCGCTAGCGAAAATCGGCGAAATTCGGCTGTGAAAAAATCTACTCGGTGAGTTGAAGAGTCGTGCGGATTGTTTGATAGTAGAATTCCCAAACTTAAGTGCAATATCGCCCGAAATTCAGTTATCGACTTTCAAACTCTCTGAATAGATTTTTTCCCAGCCGATAGTAAATTGTTGGAAACAATCCATGTTCGTGCTGAAAACAATAAACTTCGATTGCAATTTCACCCACTTTTCGCTGGCGAACTTCTTACAAAACTTTGCTTTAGTTGAACCTATTGGCGGTTATACACATGCAGGCAAGTTCGCGCGCAAGTGTGTCCAGGTAAGTCCGCGAGCAAGTGCATAAAGCTCGAGGTTGGTGGGGCCTGCTGCTGTGCGAAAAATGAAGTTGGCCTTCGCACTTGCTCTAAAAATCAGACACAATCTGATTCGCCTCGAGCCGCGCTTGGAACTGAACGCGGCTTGAGTTTCGACACATACACATTCGCACTAACTCCGTGTCTCGACCTGTACAGACAAGTCTTAACACTTGGTTGCATGTGTATAGGCCGCTTATCATCTCACCTATTGTCTAAAGGTGGCTTCCCACGGCCCGTAATTTTACGGGCCGGGCCGCGTCGCTACGTGAAAACGGGCAGCGCGTAGATCGGAACGGGCTTCAGGCGTAACTCTTCCCACGGCGAGCCGTGTTTATGCCCAAGTACCTTTTCAAAACAAATCAGCTGTCTACATATTTTTATGTTTACTAGTGTACGGAGTTGGTGATTGCAAACAACTTGTTTTTGGTGATTATCAGTAATGTCGGAAGAAGAAAAAACTGTTGCCGCAGCCGCTGTCATAGATAATCGTAATGCCACCAATACTGTCTTTTAATTTATCTTGAATACGACTACGCGAATCGTGCTGCTCGTTTCGGTTTTTATGACGGTCAATTTTTGTATTCCATAACGCGGGTTCATTTTCATATAAATTAATAAATGTGTAAGTAATTTCGTTCGTCCACTCCATATTAACGCTTAAAAACATCAAAACAACTTGTTGTAGAGCCGCAAAAACAATGAAGATGTCTGTCTACCCCAATAACAACAAGTCTGCACAGGCATGAACGCGCCGCGCCGGTTCGCGCCTTTGAATTTACCGACTCGCTGCGGATCCGTCGCACCTCCTCCCGCCACCTCACGCGACCGTCTTCTTACGGCGCGTCCGGGCCTGCAAAAACACGGGCCGTGGGAAGCCACCCTAACACGGGTCTAACCTGTTTTAAGATACTGCTGAAATTTCTGCGCTGCTGTTCTTTATGTAGCTGATTGACACAGCCTATGACATTTGAATAAACAAATATAACCTCAACCCTCAACGTTACTCGTAGTGTATTCTCCTTTTTGTTGTATAATTATGAGTAATTATTTAATTCCAGTGAAATATGCAAATAGTATAAACGATGTCGTGAAGCAAACTTTTCAACGCATGCAACGAGTCAAGGTGTTTTATATTAAAATACTATTGACGTATTACTCTAAATGAATTGAATTTTTGCTTCTGAAAGATGTAAATACAATATTGTTGCAGCTGACCTGTTTTGATGTGTCAAATAAGTACATAGCTTTTGGAGCTAGCAGCGGAGGAGTTTATATTTTTCAAAAGAAACCATGTATTTTTTCAAAGTTTATTCCAAGTAATGTGAGTGTAAAAATACACTTTTATTGGCCCTTAGAAAGTTCTTTCTTATAGATAATTTTTACTTCAGGAAGGATCTGCAACATTAATTTCAATATCTCCAGATGAAAACCATTTAGCAGTTGCAACTTCCATTGGATTAATTTTAGTTATAGATTCATTTATTACCTATTCAGATATTCAACATAAAGTGTATAGGGAGCATGAAAACTACAAAATAACATGTTTAAAGTGGCATGGAAATGATCTTTATAGCGGAGATGCTAATGGTAAAATAGCAGTTTTGTCTATAGCAAACGCAGTGGTTAGCTAGTTTTAGGAAACAACATAAATTTTTTACCATATTGTTTTATTTTTAGAAGAAAGTAATTTTCCAGCTGCCATCAGCCTCTCTAATGCTTCTGGATAGTTCTATTGTTCAGATAGATACATACCTGAATTTTTTACTTGTGTCAACTGAAACTCGGTCATATGTATGTGATGTGGAAAGGGAACATTATAAGCCCATAGGAAGAAAGCTTCGAAATGGGTGTTATGGGGCATGTTTCATAGGTCCCAAAAGCAATTTGAATCAGTATGAATTTGGTGAAAAGGTCAGAGGAACTTTTAAAACAATTGATGATAATGAAACCTTATCAATAAATAAAAATAATGACTGCATAATATATTGTGCTAGACCAGGTGTAAGACTATGGCAGGCTAACTTTCAAGGAACTGTTGAAGTGACATATCAGCTAAAGGGCTGCCTAGAAGGAAAGCCAAGAGATATTCTCCAAATAGATAATGATGTTGAAGCGAGACTAGTTAAAGATGTTGTGAGCGGTAAACAAACAGTGCCTAATAATTTTAATCTTCAAAAAATTTTCTCTTTTGGGGAAAAATACATTGTAACACATTTTTTAAATGGTTTGTATGTGTTGGATCCAGCACTAAATCAGTTGGTTCTATTGATGTATTTTGGTAATGATGTGAGAGATGTTGTTGTTAACAACTTATCAGTTTATATTTGGGAACAAAATTTACAACTCACTGTGATTTCTATGACTCATTTAGAAAATTTAGTGCTAAGTACTTTATATAAAAAACAATATTACCTCTGTGCTGAAATATGTGTCAATTATTTGAAAGATATTTTGGAACTTATTGAAAATTCAAAAAAATTATACTTAATTTCTATACTTAAAAGTAAAATTAAGGATGATGTTCTCCTTAGAGACTTGGATTCAATTTTCATAGCTTTGAACGATAAGAACCAGAAAGAAGAGAAATTACAAAATCCAACCATTTATGATTACAGTGTGGAAACAGATTCAAACATTGAAATAGAAGAATTTGAGGTAACTCCAGATAAAAACACTAACAATTTGAATATAATTTTAAAGCAATATATGGTTAGTAAGAATTACAATAACTTAGAAATTCCTGACTATGTGTCATTGCTTAACAATTTAACATTGGATGATATTTTAGCTTTATTTAGGGAATTTATAGAGTATCATTACAATGAAAATGCCATTCTGTGGTGCGGAAATCAGTTTCTAAATCAAGTATCAAGCAAGAATACCGATTTAAAAAAAATTGGAGTGGAATGTCTCAATTACTTAATTGACTCTTTATTTAGAGAAAACAAAGATCTAAGTTATTCTTGCTGTTGTGGTTTTCCATTACCAAAATGCCATAACTTTACTCCCAAGTATTATGGCATATGCAAGGATATGCTGAATGTGCTAGATAACATTGAATTGCTTATGAAGAACATTCCATATATGTTGAAACATACTATCCATACGGAAAATGGAATCAATATACCTCTTATTACGCAATTTAGTGATTTGGAATTGTTTCAAAAACATCTGATTTGTTTTACTTATGACACTTGGGACGCAGTAATTTCTCTCTTTATAAAATTGAATCAGGGATTGTGTTTAAACTGCGATAAGAACATCGAAGTTGAGGGAATATTTTCTTGGACTGAATTAGGATTGACAATAATACAATCAATAGGAACTAACAATACACTGAAAATATTCACAAGATACTCTCAGTCTATACCAAATGGAGCTCTAGAAATGAAGTTTTACCAAGCCTGTATATTTGTGTCTAGTTTTGACACTAAAACTACAGGACCCATTACAAGAAGAGCAATCAACCTTCTAAATGGACTTAATAAAAAGTCATACAAAAAGGTGAATTTAATTTCTTTATAATAGTGCAATTGTGATCAATTTTCTGTTTTAGCTTCAAACTTCATTAGAGAGGCATTTAAACAAAAAATATATGGGAAATGATGCACTGTTTATTACAAACAGCAGTTTTGAACATGTGTGTCAATATTGCCAACTTCCTTTAAAAAATGCTATACTTTCCAATAAGAGTGAGGAGAGTGATAATAGATGCCATACACTTTGTTTCAAAGCAAATTGATGGCATCTGTAGTCACTGCAAATAAAACCTTTCTTAATAATGAAGATAGGTATATAATTTCAACAGAATATTTTATACTGGGCTTGCAACTCCCATACATTGAAATTAAAGAATAATTTTGGCAAAGCGTGTGAAGTTTCAATTAAAACATTATTTATTCCTAAGACTTTTTAATATTTACAAAATCACCAAATCTTTGTTGTAACTTAAGACCGTCTTATATAGGACTCACTTCTAAAATTATCTTGTAAGTAAATAGAAACAGTTTCCATGAAAAAACAGACCCTTTGAGAATACTAATTAAAGCATGGAAGAAAATGTGGTTTGAAAAACTTTGACCTAATCTGATTCTGGAATTTTTGCAACTACTTTCTTACTGATAATTTTTGCATTGAAAGGTAAATTACAATTTTAATATTGCAAAACACTCATTCATAAATTTTAATTTAGGGATATTTGATAATTTATTCAAGTCCTAAGATCCAATTAATGCCTCGTACTAAAAAGAACACCATGGGTTGCCACGCGACGAGCCACCTTATCCAATCGAGAAGTTGTCCGTACAACATATGAGGTTTCTCCCAAGGATTAGAAAAAATTTGTTTTAGTTCAACTTTTTCTTTACAATAAGGACAAGTTTGTTTTTTGCCCACTATACACCATCCGCGTATGCAGAACTCATGGAACCTAAAGATTTAAAGTTTACCCAAAATTGCATAGTATACTTTACCCAAAACTTACACATGCTCACAAGATAGTTTATAAGTATTTTCAATGACACCTTCCTCATCTTCGGTGACTAGCAGTCTGTTTCCACAAATTGCGCATACATTTGGATCCAGATTTTTGGTTGGCATACCTTGAGGTGAATAATACTACAAAGATTCATTTTCTTTCTGAATACTATTTAATTAAAGAACCTACACCTATATGAGAAGCCATTTTATCTGCACATATCTCTGAAATGTCTCGTCCCAACACTCCATAGTAGAGTCCATAAAATATAAATAACATGGAAACATCCATCCAAATGTTTGCTGCAGTGTTAAACACGAGGTTTAATCCAAAAAATACTGACATCATAACAATGTAGCCAATAATTCCTAATCCATAACTCAGTTTATAAAGAAGTAGAAACCACTTGTACACTAGCCTATAACTTAGATTGTAAATTATGCTCAAAAAATAAAAACCTTCTTACCTTGGTGTAGTACGGTCCAAAGGTTTTTGCACTGCTTTCCGAAATATTAAACCAGTCATACAGGAAAATAACAACCATATAAATATGAATCTCCACCAACGATTTTTTAAACACAAAATAAATGGGACCATCCACATGCCTATCAAGGTAACAATCTGCAAATTAGAAATTGACGCATGTTACATATAAAAAGAAATAAGTATGAAATGACCTACCGAATAACTTCTATAATGACGTTTTTTCCACTCTATTAATACTACTTGAGCCACAATAAGAGTCAATATGAGAATGAAGACCATCTCTGCATGCATTTTTTCATGCCCTTTATGTTGCTCATGAAGGTTTTGGTGGTCTAGCCTGTAAATATTCATGACAAACACCGTCATCTCACATTAAGTTGCTTACCTTAATTTTTCTTCCACGGTTAGTTCATCCATAGTCTAAAGTAACAGATTAATAATTAAAGAGAAATATACAGATTATCTGGTATAAATACCCGATTTCCGATAAATACTGGCTTATGCAAGTCCATTTTCTTTGACTTGTAATTTATTTGTAGTTCACGATTTCAAAAATTTGGAGCAAATTTGTTGAAATTTATACCGAATTGATGGTTATCTTCTACTTTAACTTTGTAACTAAAAGCACAGACCACTACTCCCCAGGTAAATTCTTCTTTTTACATTTCACAAACCATGGTTTTTTGGTTCTTCTCCAGGAGATTAGAATGTTCTTCATTGTAAAGAGAAAATAAGTAAAATATTACAGCAAATTGGAAAAATCCTTAAAGGCATCATAAAGCTATAAACATACTTGGCAGAAAGCCAACTAATGCATTAAGATCCACTAAAAGCATAAACCAAAGAACAGAGAAAACTGATAAAATTCAAACTGCTATGGTATCTACTTGATCAATCTGTCATAAGCATTGCACATGATGATTTAAACTACGGTAGCTACAGAGAATTCCTTGAATGCTTTTAATTTTTAGCAGTTTTGTGGACATCTGAAAGTATAACTGTTGCCAGCTCCGCTGTTTTTGCCATTCACGCCCGTTGGAGGCCGGATAGGCCCGAATGGTCCAGGGTGAGAGAGGGGAAGTCACTTTTTTGTGAGCTGTCCAAAATGTATCATTTTGTGATCGAAACGTCAAATATACACGACTTGCAAATGATCCTAATCGTTTTTCCCAACTTTTTTTTATAATCATTCAGTTAAGTTCATGCCTCTTCTCTGTAATAGAGGGTGCTAAAATCGTTTGTCACTAATATTATTTTTTCGAACGGTTTCTATGCCGAAAGTAATTGCAGATGTGGAACATTTATGGTTGTACTTTTAATTGGGTTAAAATTAATCCCATCTAAAACCAAATTACCAAAGACAAACTTTTTGTTTACAAACTTTCATAAATTATTGTTACGCCATAACTAGGATACAGTCGGTTAAAGTATCAGGTGGCCTTAATTGGTACCTACTATTTATGCTCAGTAGTCCTTCGTGATTACCACTTACAACTATTTAAAGTCTTGGTGATGTACTGATCTAGGGGCAGGTAATTCTTTTGTTTGTTTTGTACTCGAGCATGCGATGGAGTTTACGTGATCAGCGCAGAAAAGAACGTATTTTGTTATTTGCTAGAAACGTTTAGTAGTACATTTAGAACATACCTACCTAAATATTTTTTGAAATACAGTAATTCAAAACGCGAACGGGGTTAAGCTACGTATCCTACAACTTATATAAATTAACTTTATTCGTGAAGTCCTCAACTTTGAATATTTGTTAAATACAATGTTAACTGCACCATAGAATCCCTAGATCGAAAAGTTTGCGTTAGTTTAATAATTTCCGCCGGCTGATTTGATGTTTTGTGATGTGAAGGCGTTTCGTATGACGTCATATTTAAAAGACTGGGTGAACTTTCATTTGCTGATTTTAGTGGAAATATTTTTTTCCAAGAAAAATGTATTTATTTATTTATTTATTGCCTCATATTTAAAATTTATGCAAGTGTCCTATTTCAATATCCTGTGCAGCAAAGCTTCTAGTGAGATTCGGTAGAGCGTGGTTACATATGTGGTATAGGCACACTGATGCCCGGTAAATACGATTATCGACCTACCCATACCGTTTTATCGCCTTTAAATAAATAGCCTCTGTTATTAAATAATTTCCAATAAACAATAGCAGATTTAATTTTAGCATTTGTTTGAACAACATGTTTTTCATTCTGTGCTAAAAATAACTCGCTCATAATATAAATAAACATTATTGTCCCTGTGATCGACCAACACAGATATACTTATGGTGCAAATTTGTTTCTTCAAAATTATGTATGTAATTTTTTTACAACTGAAAATATTACACTGATTCTTCGAGTCTCGTGTTCATTATGTTCTACGTTATGGGTTGGCTTTTAGATTTCAATATTTCAACTAAGTAGATAAATTCTAATCGGTTTAGGTTTTTGCGGACACAGTTAAATATTATCCATACGAGTAAAGATTTTCATATTTATCCGACTTTGCAATGTGAGCATGATAACTGACTGTAGCCAAATTTTGTTTGGTTTGCAGTGTAATTAATCAAACTATACTCTCAAGTAGATATCACCAAATGCCAAATTATTAGCACCGTGGGTGTTTTGCCAAAATCTAACCGTCTGTCTGGCGCCTTAATCAGGGAGCTAATTAGGTAGACAATATGTATGTTATAAAAACTATTTAAAATAAATACATAGCAGTTTAAATTAGTGCTTCGGGCTAAAAATTAAAAACAGCAAGGAATGTTAGCCTAAAATAATAAAATATTTTCTTCGGTACTTCATGACATCCATCAATAATGTTTGTCACCAAACCTTGCGTTCGACAAATAACAACTTCGCGTGTTTACAAACATATGGGCCCAATACGCAGCGCTTTGTTATAGGCGTGCACCATGCCTTGAGTCACGTAGACGAAGATTCTAGCATAGCGATCGATGAGTCGGTGAAAAGAGAACAAGGAAAATTATTATGGCCGCCCGGGTGCCTATCTAGCGGGATTTTTTGCCCACTTTTTTTCAATACGAATTTCATATTTACCAAAAGATTTCCATCCTCGCTCTTGGCGATAAGGGTACTTAATCACGATTTTATTTAAGTATTTATTTAACTGCTCAATCCAATTTTTAATAGTTATTGAATAAAATGAAAAGATAAAAATTTTGAGAATATTTTCAGTCATCTTGCATGTTTTCATAAAAGCGGGGCAATACAAATTAAAAGCGACGCGCTATATATTTTGGAGTATTACCATTGCATATATAAATTTTAGTGCTATTAATGAACATTTTTTTCTGTGATCTGCTGCAATTATAATATTAAAAATGAAACTTAATATGGTCAAATGCATTATTAAGAATTTGGTTTTAAAAAGTGTTCCAAAAAGTTTTCCAAAACCTTGCCAACTTGGGAACTTAAGGAAATACAATTATTCACAGTCTACTTTATCATCTAATGCCTTCCTTGTGCAGTCTGGGGAACAATAATAAATTTGGTCCAACATTTCTTCTTTGGATTAGGAAAATCCAGGGAAAATCAGACCAATAAATAATTCCTCTAAACCTAACTTAGTTCTAAATTTCAGGTATTTGTGTGATGGTAATGATTTTAGTAGCATATCAGCCAGCTGCTTACCTGTGGAAATATAACTTAGTTCAATTGACTTTTTCTCAACTTGTTATCGAGAGAAATGATGCTTGATATCAATATGTTTAGATCTTTTATGACTTGTGTGAGTTTGCTACAACCATTGTCATCTTCCAAATTAATAATACTTGTTGCTAAAGATTTAAGGCAAATTGCTTCTTTAACAGCTTTAAACAAAGCCATATAATCATCTTCTCTTGATGAGGCAGCTACTGAATTTTGACGTTTTGCGTTCCAACGTATACTACTATTTTCGAATAATTTAAATAAATATCCTGTTGTACTTTTTGTGTCACTTCCGTCATTACCATCCCAATCAGAATCAACATAATCTACAAGAAGCTCTCCCCCAGTATATAATTTAATTTAATATTTAAAGAATCTTTTAGATATCGTGAAACTTGATACATTTCCACAGTTCTTTATATTTTTATTCATAAACCTACTTAAAATGTAGACATCCGATAGCACTTCGACAAGGAGCAGTACATGGTGTGTCAGAATTGAATGCTAAAATGGCCAATTTACATTCAAGTGGACTATTGATAGGATTAAAAATTGTTTTTACATAGGCGCTTGGATCTAAGCAAATTTTATCATGTTCACCAGTAATTTTTATTTCCAGAAATAATTTAATTTTTTTAAAATCGACCATCAAAAATTTATTAATGAAATAATTTTTAAAACTCATCATTGTTTCATATTTGCTTTGCAACGACTATAAGATCATCAACATATAAAATCACTAAATATTTTTTAATGTATCAGTGTTAGAATCAACAGGGGAATTTGTACAACACTTTTCTGTTAAAACCCTTCGAACCATCATCTGGCTGGTCGTTTTAAACCATGCAAAGTTATATTTAATCGACAGACCGGATTAGGCTCACTCTTGACTCCTTTAAGGAACCTTCCATTTAAAAACGCAATTTTAGCATCCATGTAATGTACTAATAAACAAATTTGATTTGCAAAAGCCATTATAAATCTAAAACTTGCAATCCTATCTACTGGTGCAAAACTTTCGTTCATTTTCAGAGAAAATACCATTTACCATTTATTTTTACTGTTGGGCCTTTCTACCAAGGTTCAAGTCTTATTTAGTAGCAGATAATTAATTTCATTCCCTATAGCATGCTCCCATTTTTTTCATTTCTGGGTAAGAATTTGGAATGCTATATAGTATTGATTGATAATCGGGAATACCATCTTCATTGTATGAGACAGGGGAAGATTTTTAGTTGCTGTTGTAGAAGTATCAGTTTGGGCTCCAGAGTTACCTATGCTTGATTTTACAGCTCCAGATTTAACACACTCTAGTTTTCACTTTAAGAAATATCAGTTTGTGATCCAGAGTTATTCTGTCTGCTTCTACAGCTCTAGATTTAATACCATCTTGTTTTTTACTGTCATACTTATGACATTGGGATTTGGGGTTTTGAAAGTTAACCCTTTCCACCCAGCCCTTGTAGTTTGATCCATTATAACATCTCTTACCATAAGGAATTCCCTCACTTTATACTCGTTTTTTTGAAATTTTCTTTTTTTCTTAGTTTATTATGAACAGTTGAACCAAAAACTTTTAAATACTGAATGCCACAATTCATATGGAGTTTTATTTTGTTTCAGAGCCTTAGTTAGCGAAATATTTATTAAATAAGTAGCAGTTAACACCCAGCCACGTTCAATAATATTTACAAAATTGACATAAAAATAGTTTGAGGATGATTTTTGGAAAGTATTAGCATATAAATAATGACGGAATTTTTGAACAGTCAAAATTATTGCAAATGTTTGCAGTTCAAAAAAATGGCATTTTTGAGGTTCCTTTGTTGTTTGTTTGTTTAAATAAGCGTTCCCTTCCCTCTTTCACTTGTATTAAAATTCCCATTACACATACCCTACTTTCATCAATTATTTTCAAAACTTTCCAAAGGGCTTTTTGTGTCAAAGCATGCTGTGAATGACTTTTGTTTCCGAAAATTATAAAAAAATAAATAATTGTCTTACATTATGTATTTCTGGCGCAAGAATTTTTCTACCGTTGCGTTGGTCTAATT